TTTTTATGTGTTGTTTAAAAAGTAATACTAGTATTTAACATGTAAAAAATACTTATTAAAATACAAATATCCAAATCTTTTATGCTTGTTAATTAAAAAAATAATAAAATTGAGTGATATTATTATAAATATGTAAAATTACAAGAGTATGAAATTTTCAATAGAAAAATTAAGTTTGGCTTTGAATCTAATTTAGGAGAATTATCGGTAGGTTTTTGGGAAATTCAATAGGAATTCCGGTGGTGTGAGATTATTTAAAAATAAATCACTCAAATAATTGAAAAGGAAATACTGAAAATGATTTGGAATTGATTAGAAATTATTAAATTACAATATTCTTACACTACCTAAGAAAAAAAAAAGTACATTTAGGGTGCGTTTGTTCGGGAGTTTGGATTTTGACTTAGAATTTAAATAGTAAAAAATTTTGAATTTGCATAGTTGTATGATATGATATAAATAAATATTGATCTGATATTTTGAATATAAAATTGATTTTTAGTATAATATAAAAAATAAAAAATAGGTACTCCCTCCGTCCCATGTAATATGAGTATATTACTGTAGACACTTTAGGTAAAGTATAATTAGTAAGTAATTAAGAAGTGTTTTAGTAAAAATAATTATTATTTAGTAAAAATAATTATAGATTAAAATTAAGATAAGTAAATAGTTTAATTAAAATTAAGAAAATTATAAAATTTAAAATTTAAAATGCGATTAAAGTGTATAATTATATTTCCAAAAATAGAAAGAACAAGTTATGTGGGACCGACAAAAATAAAAAATATGGACAAATTATGTGGAACGGAAGGAGTATTTGATTTGATATTTTTTGAGATAAAAAATAGAATGAATAGTGGATTTAAAATCCAATCCCCAAAACAAACACACCCTTAAAAAATTAATATTTGATTTGATGTTTCAGATTTGTTTCTTTAACAATTTTTTTTCAACATATTTCCTCACTCTCCTCCCCCTCCCAAATTATAAAAAATTCTTCAAACCAAAATACAAAAATAACACATTATAACAAACAATTGTTAAACACCCGTAATAAAAATAAATATATCATAAATATAAAAATAGTCAATCATCCAATAATCTATTTGCAAAACTAGTTACTAATATACTAAACCCCCTTTGTCCAACTTTAAGGGGGCTTTTGGAGTTTTTCTAATATACTAAGAAATAATAATATTTATTGGTCAGTAGAATTTTGTAAAAAAATTGATATTTTTGCCCGTTAATTTTATTTATAAAGTAATTGTATGTGTAATAATATATTTGTAATTTAGATAAAAATTAAGAGTATTTTGGTATTAGTATATGCTTACTTTTACCAACATAGAAATTAGATGTTTTGGAATGTGCAGACGAAAATAGTAAGAATGATACTTTGAGTTAGAACGAAAAAAGTATATAATACTCTATATAAGTCGCGAGGCATTGGTTCCTGTGCTAATTTGACATAATCAATATACAGTTATAAAGAAAGTATCATATATATTCGACATCATATTGTTGATGTATTTTTTCAACAATAAAAAAGTAAAATCCAAAAATAAGAAATTATCTTCAAATTTGATATAATTAGTGTCTGAGATTAGGAATCTCTAAACACTATACGGTACGTAAGAAAACTGGAAAATAAATGCTATAGACTGAAAATTAAATGATGATCCCCAAATCACTGACTTTGCTGTCGCTTAAAGATGATTGAAGATCCTTTGCCAGTTGCTAACCCCAATCCTTTAATATTCCTCAGAAACAGTATCTGGAACCGTCGGTCGAACGGTTACAACGCCTCTTCTCAACCGTCTACTAATTCCTCTTTTGCTGACACGTGTTCTCAACCGTCTTACCAACCGCGTAACCCAACCGACCAAGCTATTCTTCTCACTCGATCTCCGCAGCATCCGACCTCCACAACAACCGACTTGCTCATCCGACCGCAGACCAATCGACTTGCCTGTTCGACCACAGCCCTTCCGACCTTCTTATCCGATTGTGGACCAACCGACCTACCCGTCCGACCGCGGACCTTCCGACTTACATATCCGACCTCAAACCAACCGACCTGCTTATCCGACCGCGGACCTTCCGACTTGCTTATCCGACTGCGGATCAACCGATCTGCCTGTCCGACAGTGAACCTTCCGACTTTCTTATCCGACTGCGAGCCAACCGACCTGCCTGTCCGACCGCGGACCTTCCGACTTGCTTATCCGACTGAGATCCAACCGACCTGCCTATCCGACCGCGGACCTTCCGATTTGCGAACCGTCTGACCCGCGGACCATCCGACTTGCGGACCATCCGACCTGTGGACTGTCCGACTCGCAGACCATCCGACTTGCGGACCATCTGACCTATGGAATTTCCGACTTACAAACTGTCCAACTCGCAGACCATCCGACTTGTGGACCATCCGGTGGACTGTCCGACTCGCAGACCATCCGACTTGCGGACCATCTGACCTGTGGAATGTCCGACTTACAAACTGTCCAACTCGCAGACCATCCGACTTGTGGACCATCCGACCTGTGGACTGTCCGACTCGCAGACCATCCGACTTCCGGATCATCCGACCTGCGGACCATCTGACTTGCCTATTTCCTTAAAGGAACGTCTGTTTCAACCGATTATCTTGAAACACCCCTTAATTAGTCTAATGGACCCAATTACAGGCCCACATCTCCTTCTAACTTGGGTCTTTTAACCTAATTATAAAATTCATACGTAACACATGTTAATACAATATATAATACTCATTCATTCCAGCTATAAAATATACATATTTCTATTTTGGGATGTTCAATTAAAAGTAATCATTTCATTAAATATTTCACTTTTTTTCATAAATACCCTTACTTTACATCACATCATTACACTACTTTTATCTGCCCACTATAATTAAAATATTTTTATTTCTTAAACTCCGCGCCAAAAGTAAATGTATATTTATTGTTTGGATGAAGGGAATATATATTTTGATAGTATATTAGTATAATTATATATAACACAATATATTATGATTTTAGCATAATAAATATATTAGATAGCACAATAAATGTTAATACAATATATAATATATATTTTAATAGCATATTGTATATTTATACATAGTACAATATATTGTGATTTCAGGACAATAAACGAACTATACCACATAACATAATATACGGCTTAAAGTTAATATGCTAACTTAGGTAAATCAGAACAATATTGACTTAACCGTAACAAGCGCCAAGTTGAGAAGATAGTAAGTGTTTGTTTTTGTGAGTTTGAGTTTTTTTTTTTTTTTTTTTTTTTGTGAGTTTTAGTTTTTGGGTTTAGAGTTTTGAATAGTAAAAGATTAAATTTGAATAATTATTTTGATGTAAAATAAATTTGTAGTATAATATTAAAAAAATATTTGATTTGATATTTAAAACAATAAAAATTAAATAGTAAAAACATGTGGTAAAAACCACAAAATAACACAATAAATTACTTTGGAAATAAGTTTTATGACGAGGAAGTAAGCTATATAACCATGTCAATTTAAGTGGGTCAAATTATAAGATTACTTGATAACTCTAGATTCCAAATTATTAGAATTAACCCAAAATTCAACATAATCAATCTATTTTATTTGAGTTCGAAATCAATTTAATTTTTAAAATATCAAAACATCTAAACCAACCAAAAATTAAGAAATCGAGCATATTTGAATATTTGACCGTGCTCAAAAGTGACATGCCTGTTGAAGTATTTTTAAAGTTTTTAGGTAAAAAATTGCTGAATAGCTCCTCACAAATTTGTTCAGCCACTCAAATGAGATACTCCACAAGTGTCACAAATTGTTAGAATTATAGTCTAAACAATAGTTGCTGAATAATGATAAAAAAAAGAAAAAAAAAAAAAGAAGATAAAATTAAAGATAAAGGTCGTTCGATTAAATAAATTATATTTGCAAGTAAAAAAGAAAAAAAAAAAAAAACAAACTCCACTATTAAAATGACAATACAAAATAGTTTGGAGGATTTTTTTAGAGCCCTCAATTTACAATATTTTCTGAACATAATTAAACTTATTGCACGGTAATTTGTGTCGCGGTACATCACCTTGACCATTGCGGTAAAAACATTTTAACTGGATTTTGAAGAGTTGAAGATTCAAATAGATTCGGAAGGAGACAAAATGTTAATGAATGGTGGGCCCGGCGGCCATGTGGCACTGTCGGCCCAGAGTGCGTGACGGATCGCCGCATATCGAACGACCACGCTTCTTTCACAAAATATTTCCGGGCCCCACAGCAATCTCGATTATCATTTAAAAACGCTCCCGGGACCTCAACACCCGAGCCATGGTCGCCATTCATTTCGATTCTTCCGGACTTCGGGACCACGGACGTCGCTGCTTCCTATTTCTTAATCTAATCTTATTAATTATCACCGTTAATAATACTCCATTCCTCCCATATAATTTTATATGTACCTATTTTTTATTTTCGTCAGTCCCACGTAATTTATTTTTTTTATTTTTTGAAAATATAATTATGCACTTTAATCGTATTTTAAATTTTAAATTTTATAATTTTTTTAATTTTAATTAAATATTTACTTATCTTAATTTTAATCTATAATTATTTTTACTAAATAATAATTATTTTTACTAATATATTTTATAATTATTTACTAATTATACTTTACCTAAATTCTCGTGTCTCCAGTAATACACCCATATTATATAGAATAGTGGAAGTATCTACTTATTATACCATAAGGTAAAATTAATCTAGTGAAATGACTTTCTGGTTGCACAAGAATTTCGAATAGGCTAAATATATCTAAAATATATATATATATCTATATATATATATATGTCACGTCACCATCATTGTTTCATGGTATATTTTCTACCAAGAGTGGCCATTACTGTGCTTTCTGCCAAACACCCAATTACTATATATGCTTTTTGCTAGTGCTCTCTCTAACTATTCTTTAACGAAATAATCAATAAAAATAATTAAAAGGTTTGAATTTTGCAATTTTTATTTAGTTTTCGTAAATGGGCCCATCAATAATTAATTGGGCCTAACGAGGTTTTTAAAAATGGGCCTTATTTCGAATCAGAGATCCATTTTTGCGGTCGCTGTTATAATTATTCATCTTATCCGAAGATTGGATTGTGGCAGATTTGTATGCCTTAAATTTGTTTGAATGCCTTTGGAAGATGCGGCGAATTGATCGAACGAGGTGCGTTTTGGAGTTTTAAGTCTTTGTCGAAGAATCAGGTTCTGCTGTTCGTTCCTGCACTAGTATTATTTTTCTAGATATCGGAAGTGGTTTCCTCGATTGCTGTTCCAAACTGTCTGGTTTTATGAAATTTCTTCGTCAATTGTGTTTTCATCTGATCATGACTTTGAAATGCGAGTGTGAATGTGTACATTGTTGAAGCCCTAGGTTGTGATGAAATTTGTTGTATGTTTCTTTATTGCGATCGATCATGTCTGAATTGGTGTTGTCTATAATTCGACACATAAATCTCTCTTAGGGTTCCATTCTCTACTATCACTTATATTATGATGAAGAATAAAAAAATTTGTTCTCCTGATCTTGAATTAAAGTTATATATATCCTTTTGGAGAAATTTATTTGTATTGCTTGTGAATTGTATTGGGAAATATGATTTCACTGCTAGCCTGGATTTTACATTGGTTAGGATAATTGCATAGTTTGCGTGATGCTCATTTAGGTGTGTTTGTTACATGTTTTGGGCGTGTTTAGATGTTGAGCTGTTTTGAAAAATAGGAAAATGCCTGAATAATAAGAACAAATTCGATGCAACTTATGTAAGTGTTAGTCATCATTATTTAAACAGATCATGTAACCTTTGATGTAATATTTAGGATTTTAAAATAAGTATTGTAAATGATGTTTATGGAAAGAAATTTTTTGACGAACAATGAGAAAATAAAATCGAAAATATAAGTAAACAGATCATTGATCGTTGGATCCGTAGGATGCATAACATAAACATATAGCAATGAAATTAAGTCACTTCTAATTCAGTGAACTTTGTACAAGTCTCGGCCATCTCTTCACCTGGCACCGTGCATTTTAATTTTTGCGTAGTTTCATTTAGGATCAATCTGTAGTGTCTTTTCTACTTTTGGACTCCCAACTATTAAGTGATAGCTTTTGCTGAACTGAATGGCGTGTTCTTCAACAGTTTAGGCTTGAACCCAACTATGATGTATAGCCAAATGCTTAGTAACAAAATGGTCTTTTCTCCGAGTGTTCTTGTTTAAAATTGAACTAAACACAACTATCATACTTGAATATACGTAAAATTTATTTGTAGTGTTCGATTCTGTACATTTCTGCAAATATATTCTTCTTGTGTGCACATATGAATAAACCGAAGATTCATAGAAAGGTCGTAAGCTTGACAATATTTTTGGTACTGTACGTCAGTGTTTATTACCAAATTCAAATGTTGATTTGGCTGACACTTGCTTTGCTTCATTTGAAGTTGCTTTCTCTGTCTTAATCGAGCAAGTTTTTATTGTGCTTGTGCATTATTCATCTATGATAAATAAATAAATTAGTAAAGAAATACAAAGAGATTCTAATGCTACAATTAAAAAAAATATATATTGGTATATGTTTTCTAATAATATCATTATTTCACATCACCCCTATCCTATATGCCAAAAAATCGAAGTTCTCATGGGAAAACCATGAAACCGTTGCTTGAACTTCTTCATCTTTTTGCATGTGGCGATTACAAATTGCTTAAAATACAAGACTACATGTTGTACAAGGCTTCGAAGTATCTTAATATCTTGAAGGCCTTGAGATGAAGAAACATCTTTTTATATATATTTTCATTTATTAATTTATTTTATAGATGAGTATTGGATAGATAAAAAAAAAAAAACTTTAGCTCGATTAAAATGGAGAAAGCAACCCCGCTTCAATCAAAACAAGCCACTAAGAAATTAGTGTTTGAATTTGGTAATAAACAACATCAATGTGCAGTGTTATGAGAATTTGTCAAACTTACGGCCTTTAGACTTTTTGTTTTATTCAAATATGCACACAATAAAAAGAAATATTTGCCGAAATATACAGATTTGGATGCAACAATTAAATTGTATTTATGTTTCCATATATAAAAGTATTTCTTATTCACATTTTAGATAATATTTTGTTCACCGTATAGAAGATTAGTCGAGAAATATTTCATTGTGTGAGTTATTAATACAAATTTAACAATATAAGTAATTTTATTATTATTAAAAATATTTAAATTATTTGTATTTATCTTATTTAATATGTACCAGGCAAGGAAGATTCAATGACTAATATTCCAATTGCCAAATCCTTAAACATAAGGTAAATAAATATACTATAATATTACTATTTTTATTATTGTTTCATTAATTAATTTTAATTTTTTATTAGTGAATGATGTTTATTATTAAGTACCTATAATTATATACAAAAAAAAAAAAAAAAAAAAAAATCCCTACCTTTACGGAGTCCTCGATCACAGGATCTCATAAATTAAACCAAAAAAATCCTTTCTATGTAATCTGCAAAAATCTCTTGATTGTGACTGAAAGTTTACCTCATATGTTTTCTATTCTTGGAAGCCACCTTTTCAAATAAATAAATGAATTCTTTACTTATCTTCGTAGTAGGTATTCCTGATTAAATGGATAATGGTCCGGTCTATTCATCAATAATCTATAATTTAATATCATAATTGAACAAAATAATCCTGGCTTTGAGGAAGTGAAGGTTTGATGACTATATTGAAGATGATTTTGAAAGGCATATATATATATATATATATATAATGAATAATATGAAGAAAGCAGGGAAGATTCAACCTAGTTAAGGCACACAGTAGATTATGTGTGGGGACTATATTTATTAAATTTAATAATAAATAAATATTTTGAATTCGGAGAGAAATATTAATATTTAATGAAATGAATATCGATGTGTCGACAATCTGCACTGTACGGTGCCGTGCTCTGCTGTTGATAAAAGCAGTCTTAAATCTATGGATATATAGACATCGGATCACCAGACTCATATTTTGCCAGCTCTATTCAACTCCATCAAAATCACACAAAATGATATTATGTATATATATATGCATTACACATTTTGTATATATATATCATATATTTGATGGGGCCAGGTGGGGCTGGACAAATATGGGGCCAGTGATCCCCTCTCGGATATATCGTATTGGGTGTAGTCGAGTTGTGTCGAGCATCAATTAATAATAATAATAATAACAATGTGTATCCTGACCATTGGGAGCTCGAAAGGCCACTTATACTTATACACACATGTATATGTGTGTGTGTATATATATATATATAGCTAGGGCGTGGGTTTCTTATTTGATTGTGGTCTTAGAGAATATGTGAAGTGAGAAGAGAAGAGGATCGAGGACATCAATGGATGAATTGAAGGTTTTAGGATTAGGAGATAGAGAGAGAGTAGTGTAATTGTGTGAGTGAATGAGAGAGATCTGGATTCGATGCAAAAGCTGGAAATGTGCATGTCTCTGGTGCAGCTGGTTATGGATTTTGTTGTGGCGTTTATTGAGGCGGTTGCGACTGTGATAAATAGCCGTCACCACTCTCACTCTCACTCTGCAATCTTCTCCTCTCCTTCTTCTTCATCATCTTCTGCTGTTCCTTTTGTTGGATTTTTCCCTTAGATAAGGACATTACTTACACTTGTTTCCAGCACATACATGAGAGCTATGCCTTAATTTTGATCCATGTTTATGCATAGATTTCAGCTTCAATTCACTCTTATTATATATATATATATATATATATGATAATTTGCGATTCTTTTTCGGTTGTTATATGAGATAGTTTCTGGTGATTTTTATTTTTTAAATAAATATTATGCATAAATTGTAGCTCAATGATATCATTGTAATTTGTAGTCTTCTTTGTTTTTCTCACTGCATGCACTGCAATTTAATTTGTCTTGTTTAAAATTTGTATTGTATTGTAATGTATGTATGATATTGTTTTGTTTTCGCATGCTGTATTTATTTATATTTACATTCATACTAAAATAAAAAATTAAACTCCAAGTAAAATGACTCATTTTGGCTATATATCTTCCAATACAATACAACATATATAATTTCAGTTCAGGGATTATGATCTTCTTATTCAAGTCGTTCCAAACTGTATAATTAGGAAGAATAAAAAAAAGTTGTCCAACTATCCAACAAATATTATAATATAATATGTGGTATGTATATGGACGGGTTTGAAATAAAACATCAATGATTGGGTTTGCATTTGAATTATTGGCAGGGAATGTCTAATTAATTTTGGCTGAGTTTTCTTCCTCACGTGATATGCATGGATAAACAGTAACATGTAGTTAAATTAAACACCTGTAATAAAATAAGCATACTTTATGAATCAATAATTAAATTGTCTCTCTTAGTAATTGATAAAATATTCCAATGCCTCAGGAAATTTTAAAGTTTCAGATAGGTAATTGATGCCAGAAAAGATATGTTAAACATCGGATGCCTAATGTGTGTATATATATATATCTCTCTCGGTAATGATTGGATGCATAAAAATAGGGCGTTTATTTGGAGATTATTTATTTTTATTTAAATTTTAGTTTAAATAGTATATTAAAGATAATGTTTTGTTGCCTGAAGTTGTATATTATAGATTATAGAAATTGGTTAGAACTGTATGATAATAATATTATTCAAAAAAATATTTCAACACAAACACGATGCAATCTTGAAAGAGATACTAAAATAATTGTATTTATTAAGTATCCCTTGCGAACCGAAAATAGCCTATAGGTACCTACCTAGGAAAGGATTGTGGAATGTTAGACGAGGTGAATGAGTTTTTTAATCCGTTGGGCAAAGAACGATTCAAAATGACCAGATGATTCGAATTCGATCGCCGATTGAACTCAAGTGAAGATCGATAGGTGTGATAATTAGTTTTCTTTCAGTGTATGTGTAACTAGTTATATATATATATATATATATATTTTGAGCATCAAATAGTTTAATTATTATGTTATGTTAAACATTCATTTAAAAGAAAGCCTTTTACATGTAGTATTATATTTGGTGTGGGGTGTCGTGTCGTCCCAAGTATTGAAGTTGTGATTGAACGAACGAACGCATAGCCAAATTGCGGTTGGGTTGGGTTTGATTTCATTTTATCAGAGACTAGACTAGACTAGACTAGCTAGCTAGGGTCAGTCGATCATTTAGTTTTAGTCAGTGAGTCAGTCCCATTAAAACTTGACTCTCTCTCTCTCTCTCTCTCTCTCTCAGATCAGCAACAACAGTCAAGATTCTTCTACTCTAACTCTACTACTGGTCTACGTTCCATATACACTTCCTACGCCAACAAAAAAATTGTGCTGCCAAATTCTGACATTGAATTTCCTTTTGTCTTGTGCCATCCCATGATGATGATGATCCTGCACTGCACTGCATTTGGTGTGGATTTGTAGCAGAAGGCGGCCAACTATAGAAATGTCATTTAGTATCCAGGGATTAGTGGAGGCGGTGGAGCCGCGTAGCGTGCGCCCAATATCGGTGGGAATTTTATTGGCGGGAAACCATGAGGCGGCGGCGCTTGCCGACCAGCAGGCGGAGACTGAGGGTAATCTGGTGGCGATGGAGGTGGAAGCTGTTGTAGTTGCGGTGGTGATTGGGTAGATCGTGGCGGTGATTGTACTTGCATTGGCAGCGGCGGTGGGGGTGGGGGTGGGGGTGAATGAGCGGATCCCGGTGTTGTAGGAGGTGATTGTACTGATTTTGGTGGTGGTGGTGGTGGTGGTGGTGGCGGTGGTGGAGGAGGAGGTGATTGTACTGGTCTTGGTGCTGGTGGCGGCTGTGAATTGTCAGTTCGTGGTGGGGGACTAGGTGATTGAGCTCGTGGTTGTGGTGGAGGCGGAGACGGCGATGGTACGGATCGTGGTGTCGGTGGCGGCGATTGCATTTGCGGTGGTGTTGTTGAAGGAGCTGGTGGAGGCGGTGGCGGTTGCGTTGGGCTAGGACGCCTTGGTCCTTGTGGTGGTGGTGATTGTCCTTGCGGTGGTGGTGGTTGTGGCGGCGATGGACTACTGGATCGCGGCGTTGGTGGCAGTGCTGGAGGATTAGCCAATCTCGGTGTTGGCGGTGGTGATTGCGGTGGAGCCGGAGGATTAGTTGATCTCGGTGTTGGTGGTGGTGACTGTTGTGGTGCCGGAGGATTACCAGATCTCGGTGTTGGTGGTGGTGACTGTGGTGGTGCCGGAGGATTACCATATCTCGGTGTTGGTGGTGGTGACTGTGGTGGCGCCGGAGGATTACCAGATCTTGGTGCTGGAGGCGGTGATTGTGGTGGCAGAGGCGGCGGCGGCGAATTAACATGCCGTGGTGTTGGAGGAGGTGATTGTCCCGGCGACAGCGGAGGAGTTGAGCGTGCTGTTGAAGGAGGCGGAGGCGAATGAACCACTCGCAGAGGTGGAGGAGCTGATTCAACCGGTGGCAGCGGCGTCGGAGATGATTGTGATTGCGATGGCGGGACGGCGGAAAGAGGCGGCGGGTAAAACTCTCCATCTGGCGTTATAACCGGCTTGGGAGCAGGAGCAGGTGTAGGCGCGGAAGCACGCCCTGGCTCGGAACCTTCTGGAAGGTTCCGAGAAGGCACAGGTGCCGGCTTTTCCGGTTCATTATCAACCGGAACCGAGCCCTTCGGCGGCGGACCATAAGGTGACGGCTGCCTTCCCGGAGCCTGACCCTCCGGCACCGGCTTCGGCGCCTCTCTGCCGCTGGTCGGCCGGCAATTGGCCTTGCAATCGGCTTTCTTACTCAATTCGAGACGGCATTCTTTCTCCGGCCGCTGGTGTTCTTCCCTGGCGAAGCAATTGCTGTCATCCTTCACAACCAGGCCTGGTAGGGCACCAGGGTGGCACAGAGGATCCTCAGAGTCGAAATAGTTGAGAGAATACGTAAGATTCTTCAAGCCTGGGAGGGTACACAAGCTGTCAGGAACTTTGCTTCTGAAGAAATTGTTGGCAATGTTGACAGTTTCCAGCTCCTGCATGTACTCCATCCCTCTCGGCAGGTCTCCCATGAACTTGTTACTGCTGATGTCCCAAACAGTGGCCGAGCTCAACAGGGTCATTTCTTCGGGGAGACATCCCGACAGGGAGTTATCGGAGGCGATGAACTCGTCCAGCTTGCCAGCCATGGATCCGATGCTGGTCGGAATGCAGCCGGTGAAGTTGTTGTTGGACATCACCACCACGGAGGCAGGGGAGTTGCCGAAGTTGGTGGGGATTATGGAGTAGAATCTGTTGTTGTTCAAGAAGATTGCATCGAGGTTCTTGTCGAACAGGGCCGGAGGCAACGGCCCTTCAAAATCGTTGAATCTGAGATCGAGAAACTTGAGGCTCGGAAGTTCCAGGACGGGGTCCGGGAATCCTCCCACGAACCGGTTATTGCTCACGTCGAGCTCGTAAAGAAGGGTCAGCTTCTTTATGTTTTCAGGGATGATGCCACAAAACCTGTTGGAATTGAGATGAATGAGGCTGACATCTTTGAGGTGCTCGATCTCCCAGGGAATGGCCCCGGCAATGTCGCCATTGTTGAGGTCGACGCCAGCAACCACCGTGATGGTGGCATTGTCGAGCGCCTGAGTGCAAAACACCCCCTTGTAGGAGCACACATCGGGGCCAACCCAATTGGTGGTGAAATTCAAGGGATCGGAGTGGATCGTCTTCTTCCACGCCTGAAGGCCAATGTAAGCCATTTTCAGCCGGGGATTCGGGAACTCAAAATTGACATCGGCATTATCAGTCCTGTGTTGATCTGCAGGAGTTGCTTTGGTTCCAGAAATGGCATAGCTGAGGAGGAGGAGGAGGAAGAGGAAGAGAAAACAGGTCAGGCCCTTCATTTCCGACGAGTTATTTGCATTAATTAGCAGCATAGCAAACCTGAAAGGGCAGATGTTGCTTATAGGGCAGCTTTGGCATCTCATAGTGTTGGATGGCTGAGGAAGAAGAAGCTGCCGAAGCCCTCCATGCACCATACTTCTGGCACCACAGGATTTGGAGGTCAAGGTGAATCCTGCACAAAAATATAGGAGGCTTAGCTTGCATTTCGTTTAGTGCAAAATTACTTAAAATAAACATTGACAACAATTCATTCATTCTTTCAGCTTCTGTTTCCATGGCTGCTTACTGCTAGTACAATTTCAAGAACTTATTTTTAAGCATGCATTCACGTGCTAACTGAACTCTACATGCTGTACAAGAATTTCTATGGGCCAGTAGGAGGAATTAAGTGAAATGAAATGGGCTTCATAAACCTTGACATGCTATTTTATCAAAGCCATAACCAGCCCAAACATATTGATTTCAAGTTTCAACTAGCCCACAAACTTGATTAAGAAGGAAATAGTCTTACAGGGGATTCTAGAAGGCTTTCGGACTCCGGACAGATCGACACCGTTGATTGTATAAGATTGACGGTGTTGATTAATCTGGTCTTGGAGTCCGGGAGCTTCCAAGAAGCACTACAAACTGAAGAAGATGATAAAGGAGACACGTCCTAGTCAGTAAGGTGATTTGTCATCTCAAATTTCAATTATCCACCACAAAATGCCAATTCCAGTTCACCCTTTTTTTTTCCAAGTATTCATTTCTTCTTTCCCCAACTACAGCAGGCATCGTCACGTTCATATCCATCCACTCCACGTGGTCCAATGAGGCTGTTCTCTTTGTCCTTATAATGAATTATTGGTAGACACGGAAACCCAAACTTGCATTGTGGTCCTACAAGGGAACCTACTATTACTGCTAGTTTCTCTAATATCATTATTGATGGATGAACAAATGTACAGATATAAAGAAAATGATCAAACTGCAATAATGGCATGGCGTAAGATATAATTAAGCCATGGTTGATGTGTTGGATGATTGAAGTTGCTTAAATTAAATATCCATTTTCCTGTGTATAGTTGACTCTTTCTTTTCTCTCCTTATCTTCAGCAGATAAATTGGAAAAAGATGAAGAGCCAAGACAAATCTGTGATGATTCTTGGGAGCTCCATGGACTCCAGCGACACAGAAATCTACACCATCCATAATGCTGTGAATTCAAACCTATGAACGGTGTAGATTTATCTGGTGTTTTGATGTCCACAAGGCTCTCAATAATCAATCAAACAAACAAAACAGTGTTCAATAGCCAATTGGGGCTTCCACACGCAGGATTTTTTGTTTTTCCAATCCAAGTGCTGCCCACCTTTTCATTCTATATAAAGCACCATTTTTTAATGCACTTTATCCTCCTTCATCTATCTAAAATATTTTATTTTATACTTGTTCCCATCAAGAATCTAGAGACGGAAAGAAAGGGTCTGGAGATCATACCATCAGACATGGCTGCTGTGACAAACCACTGCGTGGAAGAATTGACAAAGCTGGGAGCCAAGATCAGATGCAGAAATCCATTCACCTGGAAAAGGGATTGTGCTGCTGAAGAAGCACAACCAAAACAGGTGTTTTCTTCCTCTTCTCTATCACCACTGCCCAAGCCCAGGAATGAAGACAATATCATGTCCGAAGCCACCATGTCCCTCCTCATGGACAGGTTTGCACCAAGCTGATGAAATCAAGGCACCACAGAACCTGAAGCTTCCTGTAAATTTCTGAGAAAATAAAAATCAGTGTCTCTCTTATCTGTATAATGATGGCAAAATATATCATCTAGATACATACAGTAGCATAAAGCTGTAAGTGCCTAACTCTACCTGCAAATGGTAAATATTCTTGTAAATGGTACATTTAAGAATTAAGTTCTTCCTTACCTGCTGATATCCCACGGCTGCACTTGAATTACCATACTTATGATCCAAAACCAACTGTAGTGAGATGAGATCTATCTATTCATGAAAGAAGCACAAGCTCAGAGCTATGGATAATTTCTACATCTAATTTGGATACCTCTCTTAAGCAGACAGACAGAGGCAAAAATCGACTTAATGTGCTGGATCTGCACTGCACAGCATAGTATTTGACAAATTTGTGCAGAAAATGAAAACCCAATTAGATTTACAACTACCATTGGGTGTGAGAATTCTATACTGATGTGCTGATCTCTGTACTTGCTGTGGTGCATTCATTCGTGCTGGCTGTATGTCTCTCATTCTGCATTTTCAGTAACTCATTGCGCCACTTGAGAATATCTCTACTGTAATTGAGGGCTTTATCAATGCTATCAGCTTCATTTGCTGTAGCTCTGGTTACAAAGAGTTTCCTGTCGGTTAGCAATCTGAATAGCCTTTTGAACTTCACTGCTACATAGTGGAAAGCACGTTGAGCCAAAGGGGGGCTGTTGCTATTGGTGTGCGGATGGCTGATCACAGGATTGAAATCCTGAAACCAGTCGCATTGTGATAGGGGAATTCGGTCGATTTTATCTTCCAGAAGATCAAACTTATTGAGGATGAGTAGGAAACTCTTTCCAGAGAGAGATGGATGAGTCACAATGGTCTCAAAGTGTTTCTTGATTGCTAGCATCTTGTTTCTGTAAACTCCACTTCTGTCTTCATAATATTCGTCGTAATCTGTCAAGGCGACGCAATATAAGACTATGTCGACATCTTCAAACATGTCCAACCACTTGCAGTGTTCTCCAAGGCTTCTTGCATCAACTCTAGTTAGTTGACATCTGCATACCATGTTTGTGAAAAAAGTTCTAAAAGAGTAATTAAGAAAAACAAAAATTGGGATCAATGCTGGCATCAATAGTGATCAATCAAACTCTTCTGGTTTGAATTTCTAATAAAATGGCTAAAGCATGCAGTTGTCGTTAAGGTATTTGTTGTGGCAAGTGATAATGCCCTTTTACCCTCCAATGTTCATCCAATTTTTTGGTGAACTTATGCACAAACCAAACTTGGTGTTGAATTCCTCGTGTTTTTTATTCTCAGCCATGCATCGATTTCTCAATATCTAGCAGAGGTGAAAAGATTTTCCAACTGTAGTTTTACTTCAAGTATTTTAAACTCAGAAACTCAGGCAAAGTGTTAGAGAGCAAACCTCATTTGGGAATCTTTGGGATTCAAAGAGTCCATGAACCCTTCCGGAGATGAATTGGGAAAGGAAAATTCCATGGATGCAATCCCGTTCGAAGAATTGATTCCATCGGCATACAGAATGTCCATTTGAGTGGGCTCATAGTCTGCTCGTGAAATTTCAACAGCCTTTTGGAAAAGAAATGCTATTAGATATTCCTTATATTTGGATTATCACCTACAAAGAAAGATTATAAAGAACTAACCCGATCTAAGAAATAATTAGCAACTGCAGGTAGAGCATGCAGTTCATTTCGTCTCTTGTAAGTGGCTTGGAAGGCTTTATCCTTCCAGAGCTGCTCAACTAAAGGTGCATACTCTCGAGTTGCAGCTGGGAACATAACATCCAACATGCCAGATCTCATAATTTCTTGCACCCAATTTGAGAATGCTTTCAGGTTTGAATTAAGTGAATACATATTACTTCGCTCAACCTGTTCAAATATCCCTGTAGACAATCAAAGTGGAATCAGCTACAATGGTTCGTTCAAATTGTTTTAAACCAAGTATCTGGACTTGTAAAGATAATCACAACTTTGTAAAGTTCAGATTTCGCCATTCCAGCATATCAGATAACACCATCCAAAAAGCAATACATATGGCCATGATTGCTAGGCATTTGGCTGAATATAATTCAGTAATTTTCAGTTAATCTAAAATAATGCTATAGCCATACCGAACTCACAGTGAATTGGTATGTTTGAATTTAGAAAGATGTCGAAATAGCCAGGGTGTTTCGTCATGAAGTACTCAAGTAATGATTATTAAAAATTGATAAGTTAAGGGTGCATACGGTTCGATCCAGTAATGTTAGCAATATGGGATAGATATCTATTGAATCATGGTTTTTGTTTACTTACTGTCAAGAAGTTAATGTTGTTTCTTGAAATGCAGGAGGACCTAATTACACATACAGTGAAAAAGAATATTGATTGATGAAATATCCCCCAAGCATACCTGAAGGACCAGGTTCTTGAGCAAGTTTTCTCCTCATCTCAATCAAATGCTCTTCTTCAAAATGTGTGCGTCCCTCAAGCAGAATACAGATATATTTGTAGAGATTTCTTTGAATCACGTGTTTGAGGTTTTGCAGCTCATCTTCTGAGAAAGGGACACTGTGAATCATTTTGGCCTGCAACCAAACAGTATGTTTACTAATAAGATTTTTGTGAATTTACCCATACTTAAAATCAGCATGATCATCAGAAAATGCTAACAAAACAAGAGGAAAACTCTACTCAGAGATAGCAATCATATACCTGTTTAAATATGGTACCAGTTCCAGATTGATCAAAACCTACTAGAAGTAGTTTACTGAGAATTCTCTGGTCTATGTTTTTCCCAATAGTGTTAACAATGCCTTCTTCAGAATCTTCACCACTAGGGTTTGATCGACCAGAAGGAAATGGCAATGATAAAGCGGCGCATGCAATCCTCACTTTTTTCTGAAATGCAAAATTGTTAGCATAGTAAGTAAGACACATCTGATGAAAAACCATTAAGGAAGTAGGGAGTTCAGAAAGGAATATTCATTCAGTTGACCTTCTTCCATAAATTGCCCACATTGTCCATGCCTTCATGAGTATAGTTTCCATCTGATGTAAGCCAAAAGCTTGGGCCTCCCTCACAGTGGATTCCAGCAGCCTGCAAATGTTAGACAAATGGCTGAGATTCATGTTTCAAATCCATAAATGTTTTGAATTTACAATATTTTGAATGAATAATAAAATGGAAGATAACTTTTTTGATACAATGTCTTTTAGCATTGTATAGTCCCCGCATGTGATCCAAGGATAAAATACAAATGCTAAGAGTGTACATTTGCAATCTTTTTTTACTATTCTATCTCTCAATTTTCCGACACAAATCCAACATTTATTTTACCTTAAAATATCAAAACAAATCATACAAACACACACACAAACAAAGAAAAAGCACGACGCCAAGAACATTAAAATTTAGAAGGCCAATACCCTCAGCATCCAGCACTCTGGTCTAGTTATCTCCCGGCCATTTATCAGTACTTTTGTGTCACCATTGCTGGCATCAGGCATAAGTGGAGAACCAATATCCATCTCAGCACTGATAATCTGGCATGGTTTCTTCCCTTCCTGCTTGGTTGAACCAAAAACCAAGTTACTTTCAACATTAGAAATAGTAAGGTGAAACAAGAAATCAAATTTGGAAGTGAATTTTAGAGTAAAGCACAGTTCCTACCTTCCCCCAAAATCCAGAGTCCTTATCATACCAATATCTTCCAGGTCTAAGCTTCTTTGGAGGATTCCGACAGCTTAGTAGCATAGTCAACTTTTCCTTGCACAAATGCTTCCCATTCACATATATTAGATGAGGTTGCAACTGATTCACTTCACATGATATTTCAGAGTTCATGATTTGCTTAGCTACCTCATCAGCAAGCAGTCTCTTCAGCATTCTTGAACACTTACCAAGCGAATCACGCTTTGATTCTTCAATCCTATGGCCAATGCACTTGATGCATTTTCTCCCTTCTGGCATAGATCCCATTGCCCTAATCACACATTTTGCACAATACTGAGCAGAGCAGACAATGCAAACTTCCCTCTCTGCAAATCGACCCCTTCTCTGACATCTATGGCACAATCCTCTCTTCCCATAATTAGAAACAACAGGAGTTTCTGGGAGAAATGAAGGCTCATCACCATCAGTTTCTTCAGAAGTAGCATAACGTGATGGTACATCAAGGGAAGTCACTGTAGATGTTCTGTTACGTTGGACACAAGTTTCTGTTACAGAATCTTCCGATTTCCTTCCATGGTATGAAGAAAGCTTTCGCGAACTTGAGGCGGATTCCTTTGAAAGGGGCATGGTGGACTCACAATTACATGAGACACTAGCTTTACATTCACCACCCAAATCCTCACCGTCTGTGCTTTCTGACAAACCATTTGAATCATCAAGACAGTCAAAATACCGAAGCGTACCAGAACTACTGGAGCTCTGATCATTGGGTACAGCTGCCGATGAACCTCCTTCCAGTGAACCATTCTCCAATTTCCTCGAAGAAACCCGACCAGAAATCCCCAATTTTTCTGAATGTCGTACTAAATCCTGAGGCTCCGTTACTTCTAAACTTGATATCCTTTCCTCCGATGGTTTGCGGTAAGAATCGCGATTTTTAACGATAGGTTGGCTTACTGGTAGAGACAAACTCTTCGACATCACAGCCATCGTAGCAGCAACGGATGCAGTCGGTATGCGGAATATATCAATGGGAATCGCTTGGGGAATATCATGGCTGATTGGAGGACCTCTGTACTCAATTGCAAAAGAATAATCGGCTCTGAAATCACCATCACCATCACCATCCTCGCTTTTCGTGGAAGATATTGGCACAATGCCGCTAAAACATCTCGCCATTTCAGCAAAGCCAGAAATCAGCTCACAACTAGTTTTTAGTACTTCAACGTTCGTCTTCAGTGATGAATCGTATCACAGAGCAGAGACCTTTTATCAGGCCAATGTGGACTTGTTGAAACCTTCTAAGTCGCTTGGAGACTGACTTGAATTTAGACATGATAGTTGACAAAACGATTCAAGATCATAAAAAAAGCAATTTCAAATTCCAAATTCCCCCGATCAACACGCACGTAAGTTGCAGGAAATTCAGCAGAGACTATCTAGAGAATGTAGGGAAGTTTCACTAACATCACTCAATTAAGTAATCACACGTATAATTTACCTTCAACTACCGATTAATGCAAGGGTCGCGACTCGCGAGCTTTCCTCCATGAATAAGAATTCTCCGGGCCCGTCGAATTGAATTTTTATAGAATCGATAAAAGAGAGTGTGACTGAGTTGGATCAATCAAGCATCCCGTACTTGACACGGTATCGTGTTTGACGGTTTCCCAGTCCTCCATGGGAGCGAGCTACTACTGGTTACGCGTCACTTTTTTTTTTTTGGCGGTTTCATTTGTTGTGAACTTTAATCGTTAACTTCTTGATGGGCCTATGATGATGGGCTCAATATTGAATTAACAGCCCAGATCAATAGGTGGAGAAAAACATCTGGGCGGCTTGCAGTGGAACTGGGGCTATTCCTTCTTCTTCAAGAAATCGATTGTTGAGTCTAGTGAAATACACTGAAATCTGTGTTGAATATACAGGAGATTGATTGATCGTCGCTCAATTCGAAATTCCGATGGATTTCTATCTCGAAGATGGAAAGCAGTTAAGCTCAAATTGCACGACTCTAATTCTGGTCTGTTTGTTAGGGTTATTCAAATTTCGTCTGTCCAATTCACGATTTTTGTTTCCGAATCTTCTTGCGTGATACTGTGTTTGCGTGGTTCTTTTACAGCCGGCGTTGTCGATTGGCAATGTAGGGCAGCTAGCGGTGGATCTTTTGATATCATCTTTGAAAGCGGAGAGAGTTGGGTACTTGGACGAGCCGAATGTGCTTCCTTGTGCAGGCAATGACGCTTATTCGCCATCACCTCTCGGAAAACTTGCTCTTCCTCTCGAAGGTTTTTCCTGGAATTTTTGCTTTTGTTTGTTTGTTTGTTCAAGTCCGTACATCTGTTGCTGATGGTGTGGGAAATATATTCGGTTCAATTTTGCAGCTTATGAATCATCTTCTTCTGCATTGACACTTTTGCAGCAGCGATCTCCTGTTATTAAGGTTGTGAGGATCTTTTTATATACATCTCTGTAATGAAGATGCGTCTTGTATAATTGCTTGTTTTTCTTCTTCTTGATCAAACTGTATATTATTGCTCAATCTCTGTGTTTATTCTTCTATTCATTGCCTATGGATTTACTTTAATTGTGACACTAGCTTTGTTTTCTTATAAAATTTCTGGAAAGCTACTTATAACTACCAAAACAGCCTTCTCATAGTGTTTGTGTAAATAGGGTATGGTGCTTGAATATGCTAAGAACATTGCAAGCTTTGCTGCTAAAAATGGAATGAATCATGTAGTCATTCTCTCCAGCTTGGATTTTGGCCGGTGGAAGAACATTGATATGTCAAGGTATCGACTCCAATTCGGCTCATATTCATCAACTATGTATACATTCAGATTGTTAGTGTTCTTTGATTTAATCCTTTTCAAAATGCATGTTGTGTCATCTGATGTTGTTTCTGTCTCTCACATGTGTGCGGGGTGTGTGTATTAGTGGTTTGCAGGTACATTACTTATCCAACGGTAATCTGGATGGAACTGACTCCAACTGTGAAAGCAATGGGTGGAAAAGACTGCAAGATTATGATCCCACACAACGAACTTGGAAGTATCTCGATTCTTTAGCTGATGGAAAGTCTCTGCCTGATGAAGATTTCACTTTTGAGGAACTAGAAGATGGAGATTACTGCCCTAGTCTGCCTTTTGCTGCTCTCTTTTCCTGCTTTAAGGTATATTTTCTTCCAGCATATATGGAAAGCCCGTCTTTTATCGCATAAACAAACACAGAGAGTATGCATATGCATATATAAATAGTTTTAGTTTCCATGGATGGGACAGCATATATTTACTTCCTTACCCTTTGAAGTTTAGCAATATTTGGTTCTTGAAATCGTGACTTTGGCCGATATTATTGAAATGTCATCGTTGTCCAAATGTTTGGTTAGATCCATTAGAATGGGAATTTTGCGTTTCCTAGTTAGATATCTGGAAAATTTAGACAAAAATGCCGATTCCAAACAATGGAGACTGACAATGATATTGGGGTTTCATGGTTTTTACTTCCCCCTTTTAATCTTCAATTCCAAAAACCCGAAGTCTGAACCTTGTTCTGTTTTGTTTGTGTTGCATTGTAGCTGCAATAATTTAATGATCTACTTTCTTGTGTTGAAATAGGCTAAAGGTTTAAAAGTGACTTGCTTACTTTGTTACTGCTCGGAGGGAGACAATATACCGGAAGCTTTCGCTTTGGCTGAGGCCACGAGCAAACTGGTGGGACTGAACGAAAATGAATTGCAAGGTAAGCAGTTATTAACTCTCAATGGATCACACTTTCTATCCTTTCCAATTAACAGTCTAACTGTTAATTCGTCATTCCTTAAAGATTCAAGTTGCTTGGTAGCAGGCCAAATTAACCTTTATTTTCTGCTCTTGTTCAGGCAGTGATCCTTCTGGTAAATGGACTGTGCCATTCTCATGGCAGAGTGTTTATGGACCTCCAGCAGATACAACTCTTTTCTAGTGTTCTATGGTATCGAGATGAACAAGATTTTTGTTTTGTTTTTTTTTTTTTTCTGAGTAATTGCTTTAGTGACCAATGGTAATGATCTAACACATTCAATAGCTTAGAATTTTTATAGCTTGTGCTTCGATGGTGAGTAAACTTAAGTTAGCTAAATTTGCAGACTGATTAATTGACCTTCAACTCAATGGTTTCAGGTAAAATATACGCATGTTTGGTAAAATTTGCATTCCTTTTTGGCTACATCCATTCCATAGGTTCCCACGTTCCATCTTCATTCGTTTGAGATTTTATGGTTTTTTTTTTTTTTTTTTAAGTAGACTATAGGAAGAGATGATTGATTTTATTTATTAATTTAGATAGTTTCTTTATAGACTTAGACCGGATTATTTATTAATTTATATTAATTCTATATAGTTGTAGAATAATTTTTTTATTGATTTTATATTATTTCTATAAATTCATATGAATTATGAAGTATACTTTAGATTAAAAATAAAAAAAAATCATTCAAATTATTTAGCGAAAAATAAAATAAAAATTATAGATTATAAATTGCAGGTTACCTGCCACACATGTTCGCCTAACTTAAAATAAATAAATAAAAGTTGCCCTAAATGAACACTAATACTTTTCAAAAGATCTCCGTATTGGATGAAGGGTCCGAAAGATAAAAAGTACTAATCGAATCCGTCCAACCAGCAACGTGAACAAGAACAAAAAGCAACCTGGAGTCAAAGCTGCATGCATTATATGAACACAATACCAAATCAAACCTTAAAACGGGCTGGAATGTCTATATGCCCAATTAGAAAACATTAAAAAATAAAAACCAACTATTCAATGAAAAAACATATAAATACCAGACCGACCATAGCAATACAAAATTATTAGAATAAAACAATAATATTATTTAACAATTATATTTAAAATATAATAACACATAAGTCTCAAAAAATTTAGTAATCATTCGATAGTATATTTTAATTGTAAAATATTATTTTTTATTAAAAATTTATAATAATATTAATAAAACAGTCCATGTATTCATAATTTTCAATGAGAATTCAATAAATTTGAATTTTATGAAAGGTTGAATACTTAATATTTTAAGAGTGTGGATTGAATACTAACGTATTTTAAAATGCCTTTTCTTAACAATCAATCACTGCCTCACATCTCATAGAGATCGCCAACTAATGCAATACTATATTAACATAATAATACTCCATCAGATTAACCGATCAAAGAAAGAATAATATCAGATTAAGGACAACATGTTCGAAATTTAAAATAAAAGTTGTGATGGAAAAACCCACCTAGGAACTTACTTTGAGTACTGTTCTTCCTTGAGATCATTATCTGCCTAGACTTATGGCGGCAAGGTCTTGTCCAATAATCTGTCGATAGTTAGATATCAGATTTTCAGTTGGCCAAGAAACACAAAGGAACTAAAGATTGTGAAAAGTTTGTAGCAAACTACTCAGAAAATTACGACTCCATGACAAAAGTAGGCATGATAAATGAAGATAGAGCTCTTTCATAAAAGAAAACACCATCGCTTGTGCAAGAAAAACCAATCAAATGAGCAAATAAAGATTCGAAATATTGAAAATTTATAATGGATAGTCGTGTACCATCCATCAGCTTCTAGAAGCATTTCTTTCCTCAACTTCTCAGCTATTGTCTCATTCCCCTGTTTCGTGTATGCATCAATGAATACACCATAAATCTCCATATCCGGTTCAAATCCTTTTCTCACCATCTCTGCCTGAAGCTCTAAAGCATCTTCCATCTTTCCTTTCTCACACAAACCCTTTATCAAGTTCTTGTAATTCTCACTCTTTAGAACTGCTTCATGCTTCTTCATTGAACTTGTCCAAAACTCCAATGCTGCCGGGATCTCATTTTTCGCGCAGAGACACCTCACAATTTCATTAACAATTGAACTTTCTGGAATAAAATTTCTCCTGCACATATCCTCGTACACCATCATTGCAGAATCCGAATCCCCAATCTTACAATACCCATTTATGAGATGCTCGAATGTAATACAAGTGCTATCCAAACCTTTCATCACCATGTTCCTGTAAATCTCCTCAGCCTTACTGAGCTCTCCCACTTTGCAATAGCCACCGATCATTGTATTGAATGCCATTACATCATGTTTCAAACCTCTATTCTCCACTTCAACCCATACTTTCATGGCATCCTCCATTCTTCCAGCATCACAGTACATTGCCATTAACAAATTAAAACTATACAGATTCGGCTCACAGCTGATCCCCGCCATTTCTTGCCACACCTCCTCAACCTTATCTACCAACCCTTCTCTGTAAAAGCCCATCATAACCAAATTCATGGTTTTTGTATTAGGGAGCAAACCTTTACCACGTTCTCCATTTTCAGTCACACAATCCTGAAAAATTTGTCTGTACAGATCATATGCAGCATAGCAACCACGGCTCCTCGAAACCAATTCAAGCAAAGAGTTACAAGTAGATGCATTCAAAAACACATTCTTCGACTTCAGTAACTCATAAATTTCAATAGCACTATCGATCTTTTTGGACTCCAGACATGCTTCAACCAACAAATCAAATACGAATGGGGCTGAATCACAAGCTCTGTAAGTTTTGATCAGTGCCTGAAGAAATGCAATTGGGGTTTCACAGAAACTACACATGGCTGATTTAATTACAGTCAAGGCATGGTACCTGAGCCTTGAGCGGCAGAGGATGTGAATCAAGGTGGCGTAGGAGGATAGCGAGTGGGATGAAAGAGAATGTTTGGTTGTAAAGCGAAAGAAAGCTAAAGCTATATGTGGCCTGTTACGGAGTTCAATTGCAATTTGTGAAAATTGAGATGGGGTGAGATATTTATTTGATATCAGAAGAGATCGGAGGTTGGACCACCGGCGTTTCGAGCGGTGGTGTTTCAGGATTGAGACGGCGGTAGCCACCAAAGCATCACCGGGATGCATTACAGGCAATGAAGAAAACGGAACTGGTTTGGGAACATAATGCAAAGAGTAGCGGCAGTTTTGAAAAACAGCTCGAAAGAACGCCATTGATGTGTGCCTGGAATTTCATCAAACAGCTTGTGTGCACAAATTATCAACAGGAGTAGATTTCGAGAGGAAGGTCTGGCACAAATATGTACAAAATCACCTGCAAATAGACCAATTTAGAAAGCATCAATGAACTGCGCTACATATTGAAATTGCCGAGCTTAAGGTAACTTTAAGATCCCTCAAATTTCTTCGAGATATTCCATGTCGTTTTCAAAGCACATATAAAGCACAGAGAATGAAACAGATGACGAAGTAAACGACGAGACTCTGAGTCGAAGCACAAAACCTAATTATTTGATACCTTTTGATCAAACTTGTAGCATAGTGACCAGTGACCACTAAAGCCAGATTCTCATCACTGAGACAGGATTGCTTAGGCAATTGGTCATTCTATTTTCCACGGATTAACTTTCGTATATAGAAAAACGAAAAGCAAGAGATTCCATGAGAAGGAAAAAAGCATACCAAATTTGCCTCAAGTTAAGCAACTCCGAGTTAATCTCAAGCATATATAATCTAATCGGGGAGAAAAAACATACAGATATGAATGTAGCAATCATCTAAAGTGAAAATTCTCGTTCCTTTGCTTTATACCTTATGCCTTATTCCGCCTTCTCCATTAAGATTCACCATTATTACTCTATATCTGATGATCTGCTTCAGTTTCAAGCCATTGAAATCCCTAAATTCATCTCCAGAGTAACCTCAATCACTAAATTCCATATGTCTGCAGAATTAATATACTAACCGGATTCACAATTCAAGCCAATTCACCTCCGCCATGAAATACGGTGAAATCTCCCATTTCAGTCACCCTAGGCACACTCTCAAATTCGATTACGCCGAGGCGCCGTTCAAGTGCGACGGATGCAAGGAAGTCGGTATCGGCTCATCCTACAAGTGCACCGCCACCAGCTGCAATTTCGACCTCCACACACACTGCGCCATCCCTTCCCCAACCATAGTTCACCCGTTCTACACCAAGTGCTCGTTCCAGTTCCTCAGCCGGCCGCCCGGACCGGAGGCGCGTTACTGTAACGCGTGCGAGAGAGGCGTATCGGGATTCCTGTACCACTGTAAGCTGTGCGGCTTCGACCTTCACCCTTGCTGCGCTAAATTGCCGATGGTGCTCAATGACGGCGACATCAAACTGTATTTATACCCAAAAGTCGGCGCGCCTTGTCACAGGCATTGTAACACTATCCAACTCATTATTAGTTTTTCTTCTTCTTTTTTTTTTTTTTTTTGTTAGATATATAATCAGAAATACTTTCGATTCTTAAAAAAATACATACAATAAAATATTTACTCCAATAGTCCATTTGGGTCTGGAATATTTTTAAAAATTTAATCGGTAATTAATAACGATAATAAAGTGACAATGTAATAAAAGTTGTGATTACTGTAATGAATAAATATTAAATAAAAAATAATAATTTAAATTTAAAATTAAATTTTACTATATTTAATATACAAATAAAATAAATTTGAGAGAGGAATAAAATAAAATATAATTATTGATTAAATATAAGTAAAACGAAAAAAAATGTACAGTCAATTGAATGTCATAATAGTATTTTACTAGCGGTTAGAGTCTGACTGGTCAACAATATCATATGATATATTTTAACGTAACATATTATATTATTGATTTTAATATTGTATTATATAAATATATTTATAATCTATTATAATTATATGTGTTGAGTCGTGAAATAATGCTGTGCTTATTGGGTTATTATAAACACTAACCACCAACGTGCAATCGATAGATTATTTCTACTTCAATAAATGGTTACTATAAACGGTTAATAGTGTGTTTGGGCTAGGTTGGATGATATGATGACGTCTTCATTTTGTATCTTTGGGTAGGGATACTTTTTATTTTTTATGTTATGAATGTAAAATATTAGAATAAAAAATAGTACAAGTATTATGTTATATTAATTTATTTTTATTGAATAAAATATATATTATGTGGTATAAATGTGTATATTTTTACAAAATTGAGATAAAAAATTGAAATGGCAATTAACCCATACATCCTAGTATATACAGGTGCGGGAGAAAGGGGAGGAGCTGGAGCTACAGGTCCTCGTGCAAAAAGTACAACCTCCACGTGGCGTGCGTGAAGGAGATGCTGGTTGACAGCTGGCACGAAATCTACGAAGGTAAAGGCAAGGGCGAGTCCGAGCCTGAGTCCGAACCTAACCGCGGGATCCCGAGCCTGAAAGCGAGGCTGGAGAGTCACAGCCACCACGCCAAGTCGTCGAAAGGGAAGGCCCAGAAATGCTGCGAGATGGCCGCGCTCGCCCTGCAGTTTGTTGTCTCTGCAATTCTCGGAGATCCCACTACCCTAATTGCTGGCCTCGTAGGCACCCTGATTTCCAGATAATTAATTAATTAATATCAATTCTATTTATAAATATGTGGAGCTTGGTGTATTATTACTATTATTGTTGCTATTAAATAAATAAAATCACTTTCAACGGGAACACCACGTTCAAAATGTTTGACCGTAATTTTCTGGTTGTTTATTTGCCAATAAAACCTTCTTCAACTGTATACAAAAGCTGGGTTGAGTGCCGTCCTGCCACGACGACGTCGTTTGTGTTTGTGTGAAGTCCTGGATCTCAACAACTGAACAATCGACATCGTTGTATTACCGTAGGATCCGCATTTTTGGCAGTGAGGATTTAGCTGGTGTTGAGATCCTGGATCTCGAAGGAGCTTCGTTGTTTGCTAGAAGCCTTTACGAACTTGTTTCTTTGTCCACGTGTACGGCAGGGATTATTCGGATGATAAGATGGTTTGTCTAACACAGCAATCAAATTGGTCCTTACGAAAACGAGCCCCATCAACGACGGGGAATACGACGTGATGTGCAACTGTGACATGTTTGAAATTTTCGTACATTAATTAATCCATATAAGGGTGTGTTTGTTTGGGGGTTTGGATTTTGGATTGGGATTTGAATAGTAAAATTTTGAATTTGAATAGTTGTATGATGTGATATAAATAGGGTTTGATGTGATGTTTTGAATGTAAAATTGATTTTTAGTATAATATAAAAAATGAAAAATAGGTGTTTGATTTGATGTTTTTGGGGGAAAAAAATTGGATGAATAGTGAAAATCCTCCAAAATCCTTCAAACAAACCCACCATAACTGTTTGATTTTTGTTTATTTATTTTTGTTATGGTTTGATGATCCAAAACAATGGGGAATTGCATATCCTGGGAGTCCAGGACTATTCTGAAGGCGAAACTAATCGGTCAGGACGGGCAGCTCCGGGAGTTCTCGTGGCCTGTTAAGGTGTCGTTTTTGTCGCCGGAAAGTTCGGATTGCTTCATATGCAGCTCGGAGGAGATGGAATTCGGTCAGTTAATGGCCGCCATGGGCGGCGACGAGATGCTGGAGCCGGGGGAGCTTTACTTCGAGCTTCCGGCGGCGTGGCGGAACCACCGGATGCAGGCGGAGGACATGGCGCTGCTGGCGTATAAAGCCAGCGTAGCTCTTGCCGGAGATGGAGATCATGATTATAATGATCGGAAGGTTGTAAGCTGCTGCTACTTTTGTGGATCGAGGAAGATTGAGCCAAGAGTGCTGTTCAGTGAGAAAGAGAGGCCGCTTCTCGCCGTGGACGGCGCCGCCGCAGCGCCGCCGATCAACGCTGCCGGAGATTGGAGGCGGCTAAAGTTGGTGGCGAAATTAAGTGCTATACTGGAAGAGGGTGATTAATTTTTTCTCAAGCTGTTAATTTCGTAAATTAGTTTATAATAACTGTGGTTATATATAACAGACTCTAGAATCTTCCCTGTAACAAACTCAGATTTTCAGTTTCAGAGGTAAATCCGTACCCTATAAATACCTTTGGCGGTGGTGGAAACTAACCATTTACTAGCTGCATTTTCATGATCAAAATCTACTCCGGCGAGAATGTCGGTTGCAACTCGCGTCCTGCTGTTGGTACTTATACTCATTCTCCTCCTAAGCTCGCTCTTCGTCTCCGGCGTCGGAGCTGATAGCGCAGCTGCACCAGCAGCTCTTCCGCCGTCGTCGTATTCGCCGTTCCAGGGACCGATTCACACTTATCCGCCGACGCTGTTTGCTACAATACTCGCCAAACTTGGATTCCAGGAGCTCTCCACCGCCACCGCCTCGGCAAATCTCTCTGCCACCACTCCTCTCACCATTTTTGCCCCCACTGACTCTTCGCTGCTTACTTGTGCTTCATGTTCCATTCCTCTCCTCATCCAGGAGCTCTCTCTCCCAGGACTTTACCCCTACCATTTCCTCGAGTCGCTAAGTTTTGGAACTAAAATCGAAACGTTAGCTCCTAACCGGTGTCTTACCATTACGTCAAATGGAAAGGATAAGGTCTTCGTCAATGGCGTGGAAGTAACTAGTCCGGATCTGTTCAACAATGGAATGGTGGTAATCCACGGTCTCCAAGGTTACGTCTCTCATTTATCACCGCTCTCTTGTCATGTTGAAATGATGACGTCTCTGTCTTTTCCTTCGCCGTCTCTCTCCGCCGCTGCAACCTCTCCTTCACTGTATATCATGCGTTTGATGTTGAAGGACGCCATAGTTCGGCTCCGCTCTACTGGATTTAATATCGTTTCACTTGCTCTCCGTGTGAAGTATCATGAGCTCGTAGAGTTAAAATCTATCACAATCTTCGCACTGGATGATGTCGCGATATTCTCCGGGGAAGGACATGCGTATCTGTCAAATTTCAGGTATCATGTGGTGCCAAACAAGCGGCTTACCGCTGCTGAGCTCGTGACTTTACCAGCTACGACTCTGTTGCCTACTATGGAAGCAGGGAATTATCTGGTGGTGACTACTGCTGGTGGCGGAGGACATCTAGCCCCAATGAAGATCAATTACGTGAAGGTAACAACTATTGATCTTCTGCACAACAGTAGGATTGTGGTCCACGGAATATCATCTCCATTTCCACATATGCTGCGTCACCACCCCTTCGAGGAGAACGATAGTAGTGCTTCAACAGATATGCAACACTCAAAATGCGATCAGTTCGACTGGAATCGCGGAATCTGTGTCGTTGAAGATGGTGTACCAACTGAAATGCCGGTGGAGGATCACCGTGGACTCTGAGATACGCGCGCAGGTTAGTAGCACCCCTACCTACTTTTTGAGAGTAGCGTCAAAACTGTGATGGATTACTACGTGATAACTTGCTACTTTTTAATCATTTGCCAATTTTACAACAATAAAAATAGTCAAATCTGTCTCATTTCTCTATTCGTTTTTCAGTTTGGTACGCATTTCCATTGTTAGTCTTGCATGTTTCAATAGTTCGTAACTACGGATCTCCAAGTATGATTGTAATACAATTTTATTATTCGCTCATTCAGAGAGATCTAAAACAATTCAAATCTAGCAGGTTTTTAGAAATGCATAATACATCAATATCATTATTATTATTATTATTATTATTATTATTATGGTGTTGAGACATGCCTGGCCGGCTAGATTAGGCAGACGATCAAAATATTCTCTTAATTATTTATTACTCTCTTCGTCCCACATACCTTATCTGCTATTAGGAGGGCTGCTATTAGGAGGGGTGTAATTAGTAAATAATTAAGAATGTATTAGTGAAAATAATTATCTTATATAATATAAATAATTATAAATTAGGATTAAGATAACTAATTAGTTTAATTCAAATTTAAAAAAATTAAAAAATTTAAAATGAGATTAAAGTGTATAATCATTTTCCAAAAAAGAAAAGTGACATGGTATGTGGAACAGACATAAACGGCAACGTGAACATGGTACGTGGGACGGAGGAGGGAGTAATACTTATAATCTAGAAATAGCTACATATTGTAATGGCATAGTTTGCAATTCCACTCCTCTCCAATTCTCATTTTATTCGGTTTCTCACTGTTACAATTCAATTCATGATCAAAACATGCATTTATTTATTAGCAGGTTATATATGTGATTGATATTGTCATACAAATGCATTTATTCTCCTTTGTCATTGTTTAATATGATTTCAATGGAAATTATTTTTTCCTAGTATAAGAAAAGCAGTGATTGACAAGGGAATATAGACAATTATTTCGCTTTAACAAACAAATAAAAGTGAAACAATTGTTTGGGGGTTTGAATTTTGAGTTGAGAGTTGAATAGTAAAAATTTTGAATTTGAATAATTGTATGATGAGATATAAACAGGTGATGATACGATGTTTTAAATGTAAAATTAATTTTTTTGTATAATATGAAAAATAAAAAATAGGTATTTAATTTGATTTTGTTTAGAAATATTTTTTGGATAAATAATAGGATTTTGTCAAAATCCATCAAACGAAGACACCCCTATTTGACCCATCAATCAAATTCAGTGTAACCATATATGCACATAAATGTAACACAACTGGCTTGTATAGTTTCTCCCTTTGTGGTAAGATAATAAGCATAAAGACAAGACCCGACCCGACCCGAATCATGGTTGAAATGTATATATGCAGTTGTTTAAACTTTAATTTGGATTCAATGCAAGCAAGCGCCAATTGAATTCGAATATGCTTAAACATTACCTATATTAATATTAATATAAAAACGGACAAACAAACAAAAACTTCTATCATATTTCAAAGAATATGCACATAAATATGATAAATAAAAGCTACATAATATGTGAGACGGAAAAAATAATATATAAAAAATAAATATTTAATTTAATATTTTTTTAAAAAAAATTAAAAATAATACAATTAAAATCATAACTCTATGAGTAAACACACTGATATTTCAGCGATTTCAATTGAATATTAGAGCATTTTCCATCATTCTTCTGACACCCACAAAACGTGTTTGAGTGTTTGACAGTCCGTCAACGTTCAGTCACTCATAGGGACTTCATCCGTAATTTCATAAAATATTAAAGTGAATTTCACATCACTTTAAACATAATAAGGACAATTGATAATATTTAATTCAAAATGTGTAAATGCTTCTAGAAGTTACCCACTTATTTTGGTCGAGTAGAATAAAAGTATTTGTTCATTTAATAATTGTTTTTTATTTTATTTTATTTTATTTATTATTTAATCCTTTTGTATATATTATATTTAAGAAAAATATATTATTAAAATTTATAAATATCATATACAAACCACAAAAAACAAGTCATCAAGTCCAACTCATTAAATTGATTATCTTTATTATACGAAAATTAGTAAATATTATATATTACATAAATATTTAATCCCGTTTAATTTACTGTACTCTTTTTATAATTTTTATTTATCTCATTTAAAATTAATTATTAATTATTATAATAAAAATAATCATATATAAATATCTAAATACTTATACTTTTTTACAATATTATTATTTTTTTTTATATATATTTGAAATAACAAAATTGTTAAAATTTTTTAAACATTTTCATTTACTAATAAAATATTATTATTTTATTTAACTACTACAAAAAATGGTTGAATTTGGACATGATTTTGTATACGAGAGGCCCATGTATTCAAAATTCAATTTGGTGCTATTGACCCGGTTGGAAGATCTAGACCGTTGGATTTAGGGTTGTATTTTAACTATTCGGTTATGTCTTGATCGTGATTTATTCTCATGCACCGCTGTTGTAATACAAGGATTCATACTTCCAGAAGTTGTTCGCTCTTTCTCACTCTGCTCCTTTTTCTCCACAAGGTGTGTGTTCGATTGAGGTTTTTCCGGCAAATATTTGTGGTAGATTGTATAGGTGAGTACGACATAGTGATTAGTGAGATTTCTTGAGGATCCGTGTGATTTCGCATTATATTGATAGGGTTTATTTCATAGTTCGATATAGAGCTTCTTATGGTCATTTTTGGCTTTGTTGGTGTCGAGCCACCTTCCCCGCGGCTGCTTTTACTCGATCGGGCACTTTATACTTTTGTGTATGTTTTCGTGTGTGTTTTCTTTGATTCGATTCAATATGAGCAATATTTATAAAAAAAATTTATGTTTAACTTTATTATAAAGTTTTTCGTCTCAAAACACAAATATCATTTTAATTTCTCTATTCAACACATTTAAAGTATAAAAGTAGGTATAAATTAGATAAAAATTATTATTTATTAACAAAAATGAAATATAAAAATATTCGTTACTAGACGGATTAAAAAAAAAAAGGGTCATATAAGGCCAGGGAGTATTATATATCAAATAATAAGATTAAATATAAAATACATATGATTAATATACGTAAATTTTGGTTGTATATAAATTTATTGATTAAAATGATAGAAATAAGATGGTATATGACTATATTTTAGAAATAATAATATTTTTGCAAGATAAATATATAGTAAAAAAAAACATTAAAAGAAAAGAAAATAATATAGTACAATTAAAATGTGAATCTTTACACTATTAATAAAATATAGTACTATCATATTATATAAAAGAATCAAATCTTTTTCAACACGTTGCAATCCAAGCTATTTTCATGTTACATACGTACGAATAATAAATACTTAATCCGTCCATTTTTTAATATCCTATTTGATATTTATACGTATTTCTAGACAATTAGGATTTTTTTTATAAAATGATAAATTTGTCCTTAATTTTGTATATTGAAAATGAAGAGTAAATAAAGTAATGATAAAAGTATAAATTTTATGTATAAAAATCGAAAGAGGACAATAGTTGATGAATATTCCAAATATAAAATTAGGACGTTAGTTTGTGAAGAGATGGAGTATATGAGATGAAGTATTTCTAAGGGAAAGATAACGTGGTATATTTTTTTACTAATTTTTTTTGATAAATATTGTAAAGTTTTGAAAATTACTCCATATATCATCGTAAAGTGAGCCATACATTCCTTAAGATTTACTCTGTTATTGTTAAGTACTTAAATTCCTCCCTCGTCTTAATCTAAACGGTCGTTTGAATTTTATACTCCATAAAAAACATATTAAAATAATAGTATATTTTTGCACTTTATATTTTTATTATAAATTAATTATATATAATAATATATTTATAGTTTATATAAAATTAAATGATATTTTTAATATTAGTATGAATATTTTATCTATAATTAAAAAAATACTATTTCTTCTGTCCCTTATACTTTTATTTTCGTTCGTCTATTTTGTCATTTTCATTTTTTTTAAAATATTATAATTTTTATTAGACTAATTAATTATTTTAATTTTAATTTTAATTTATAATTATTTATATTATACTGTAATTAATTTTATTAGTATATTTTTAATTATTTACTAATTATATATTTTTTAAATTTTTGTATCTACGATAACAGCGACACAAAAAAATGATAAAAATATTCTATCAATTGTAACTGGGGAAGCATATATGTATATAATACTCCCTCCGTCCTGGTGCATTATTGTAGACGAGAATTTAAGTAAAATATAATCGATAAGTAATTAAAAAATGTATTAGTAAAAATAATTATAAATTAAAATTAAAATAACTAAATGATTTAATTACAATTAAAAAATTATAAAATTTAAAAAATAATTAAAATGTATAATTATATTAAAAAAAAAAAAAAAAAAAAAGATAAATGATACGAATACATGGGAGGAATGAGTAATAATTGAGGTCCAGGATTGCTATATCACATGTAAAATCTACAGAACAATAAAAAGTTCATGATTCTTGAGAGAGGTCCAGGGACTCCAGATCCCAGGCCAGATCTAAAGAATCTATTCCCAGTGTGAAATTCGGCTGACGGGTTGCACCACTTGCACAGCTCATATGAATCAGTGATTCTCATATTTTTGTCATGGAATCTGTTCCAAACTATATAGAATTCAACACAATTATACCAATCTCTAAAAATCTCAAATTTATCGATCTCGAGCTGGAAGCACCATATCAAATATACAAACAAACGCACCACAGGTAAATCTAACTAACTAACTAAGCATTACAAACAACAAAGATAACCAAGAACACAAACTTGTATAGAGTCACAGACAATACTCAAAACACTCTAATTATTAACCGACTAAGATCGAAAACTCATTAGAGGGATCGAAACGCAGAAAATCAGAAGTCCAAGAAGTGCCAAACAAACCTTCCAAACAATGCTCTTCCACTTTACAAGATGATGCTCGCCGCGAACAATATCTCCTTGGATCGAGCTGTGGAAGAACAAATCTGTCGATCCGTACATATCAGCTTCGCTTAGCTCCCGAAACTGCAGAGCCTCAAAAAGTGCAGACAGCAAAGTGTGGCCGAATCTTGCGGCTGCCATCGGCATGAGCCTCAAGATCGGGTCCAATTCATCATCTTCGGGAGAAGAATATGCTACGGCGTAAGGAGTCTGTGGCATCTGCTGCCATGTTTCTTGATTCGTGATATTGATTCCTGAGACCGAACGGGATCTCGGATCGTGCTTTGGTTTGCCTCTTCCGTATATGGGAATGAGTTCTTCCTCGTGCACCCGGGATTTACAGATTGGGCACTCGTGATACTTTGAATGGAGTCGAAGCCATTGAACGAGGCAAGGCCAACAGTATAGGTGACCGCAGAGCGTCACAATAGGCTCCCGCGGTAATTCGAAACAGATATTGCATTCGAAGTTGGCTAATTCATCTGAATGAGAAGCATCCCATGATTCAATGATCCCACAATCCATACTACAAACTTTTGCCATGGATTTGTTCATCTGTAACACAGAAAAATCCAAATTAATTCATACAAATGGTGTATGCCTCTATTGCTGATAAAATCAATCTGTCGACAGAATTCTGGATGAAAACAATCAATCCAAACATAATTTTCAAAATTGTAAGGATCTGTTGCTCCGTACAGAGTACCAATGAACTGAGTTGATAAACTCATAACCTAATTAACAACAAAATTCAATCCAAATCGAAATGGAGCATGCAACAAGGAGAAAGGTAATAATCAGGTAGCATAATCAGATTGATCACTTGAAATAACAGGCATGCGAACAATTTTTAAAATTTTTTTTTTCCAGATGATTGTAAACAGATAGAGCCGACTGTTAAGCAAACTCAAATAATTTGCAGAAAACGACTGCAGAAAACAGAATCACACAAGTTTTCCAATTATGAATTCGACTAAGGAACAGCTCCCCGCAACTAAACCACCTCGAATGGAATCAAATTCAGCGAAAACAATAAATGATTTATGCGCAAACACAATACCTAGAATTACACGCCAACCGGTTATAAACAGTTCGCAAACACCCAGCACAGCAATCGAGCTGATTTCTTCACAATTACCCACAGACAACAAAAATCCACAAAATTAAACACTCCACCACAAACTAACTGCACGGATATGCGCACAAAAAAGAGATGACAATTTTGTCGCGAAAATTGGCGCTTACTGAGCTGAAGATTAAGAAAGCGAAGCTAGATGGATCTCTGAAACATCACAAGTCATCTGAGTATGAAGAAAAAACCGCAATGCCAGCGACGGGTTTAGTAGAACTTTGTTGTAGTGGGAAGGAAGTATCAGCGAAATGAGAAGCAAATATCAGCGAAATGAGGAAAACGAGAAGCACAGGCAGTTCCAGTAGGTGTGATCTATGGTGGGATATAAAAGAGGCCGAATTTAATATTCCTATATATTTAAATAATAATTCCACATTTATTGTTATTTATTAATTGGTCTGAAAATTATGTAGGGCCTATCAGATAAGTTATTTTGACAATAAACTTTACTCAGACCCAATATTAAATTTGGGCTTATCCTTATACCTTCTGTTAGGCCTAATCGAATTAGTTACGTTTGAACACAAGGTGCTTTTGATTTCAAAACTAAATTACTATTATATTAAATAATAATTGAAAGTAAAATTTAAATTAAATTAAAAATCATACATTTCGGTGGATTTTTTTTTTTTTTAAAAAATATATATACTACAGGCTTAAGAATTTTATTTATTTTATGCGTGTTGATTTTTAAATATTAATTATTATATAAAAATTGAATCAAGGGAAAATGACAAAATATTTTTATTAGTGTCTTATAATACTATTATAATCGCATTTGTATAAAAATTTATTTAAATATATAAATATTTTTAATATTAAATACAATAATACAAAAAATAAATTAGACCATTACAACCGGACGAAGGAATAGCATATGTTTGCATTTTATGTGATGCAATAAAAAGAGTGGATATTAAGACCATTATTTATGTTTATTTTATGTCTTTACTTTTGTAAGTACATCGTAAATAGTGTAAGAGTGACTGTTGCTATTATTTTTGTTCTATTATACTTCTATAATATTTTTGGGTTATTTTCTTGGAACAATTGTCCTTACCTTTTTTTCTTTAATTGGCAAAAAAACAACAATTATCCTTATCTTTAAAAACGATAGGGCCTACGTCTAAATACAATTTGTGAAGATGACAAAAAGTGGTAAGGTGTCGTTTTTAAATAATAAAAAACAAAATATTTCTTTAATTTATAGTAATATGATGAATTATGCCATTCAATGCATATAAAGCATTCAAACAACATAAATGTATACTCGACAAAAATAAGCATAGTTCGAACCCCCTAATGTCTCAGGTCATCTGTCGCATATAGTTAACCTAGTGTTACTTGTCGAATATAGTTTGCAGGGTATTAGATTCGACCGGGAGTTTATCCAGTGCGCACTTTTAAGTAGCGGCTGCAGATTCTCATATCATAAAAAAAATAGAATAAAATATAGTTCGAAAATATTCTCTAGCATAAAAAATAAGTACTTAGAGTCTAAAGAATAGACCTGAATTTTTTTATTTTTTTTGGGCCAAGCCAATCCAAAAAGGTTGAAAATCACCTGGGCCTCGTTTTTCATGAATTAGCATCTTGAGGTCCTTTGATGGGTATAGAGAAATCGTGGTGGGGTGTGTTTGTTTTGTGAGTTTTTAATTTTTTTTTTAATGCAAAATATAGAAAATTGTATAAAAATTATAAAAATAATAAATATGAATAAAACATTAATATTTTTGAAAATATCAAGTGAAGAAAATTTTAGAAAGAACAAAGTCCAATAGCTGTGTGACCCTAGCTATGTTGACCCTACATGATTTACCAAATAAAATTTTTAATTATTTTTTAAAAAATATATTCTAAATATATAATAAAATAAAATAATTAATTATATATCTAATACTAACTTCATCCGAAGAGTACTAAGAACTTTTTGTGCGTTAATTTTTAAATATTAATTATTATATCAATAAATAGTATAAATAAAAAAACAAAAATATTTTTATTAGTTTTTTATAATATAAATATAAAGATTTTTATGGAATAAATTATACAAATATCAAAATATTTTTAATATTGATGTTGGTTTTATGGACAGAAGTAGTATTAAAATTTTTAATTATCGATAGAAATATTCTTTTTTATTTAATTATATTTATTTAAATTAATGTATCTTTTATTTTTAATTAAAAAATGTGTAAAATACATTTAAAAGTTAAAAAAAAAAAATTTAAAATCAGGCACAACCCGGCATAATTTAAGAGAATTGGACCGACTCGAAATTGCCAATTCTACATGTATTAAATAAAAACATGTGTTTTATATTGGTATAATTTTTAGAAGTGCTTACTTTGAAGAATTAGATTATAATTTATACATTATTTCAATAGATTAATCAATATAATATTTATGTTGTGTGATTAAATATTAGATAAAATTATATTATAATTATTTTATTTGTTTATATCGTATAATTTTTTTTATTCATAATATCCTTAATAATCTTATTGCAAATTATAGTAATATAATTTATTTTATACATTTTTTTTCTTTTAATTTATAGAAATATAATATATAACAATATATTCCCTCGGTCCCGCAAGAAGGTTGCCATTGACTTTTTGCGTGTTGATATTTGAATATTAATTATGGTATCAATACGTAGTATAAATAAAAAAAGAAAACAAAAATATCTTTATTAGTCTCTTATAATACATATACAATGATATTTGTCGAATAAATTATTCAAATATAAAGATATTTTTATGTTAAGTACAATGACACAAAAACCAAATAACAACCTTCTTGCGGGACGGAAGGAGTATAAAAATCTATTTATGATATTGTTACAGTATAATATGTATATAATTTAATATTTTTTAAATTATTTATTAAATATATTTAATTTTATCTCTAAAATTTTTAATTAAATTTTAGTAATATATTTGAATTCAATTTTATCACTTTATGTTTTTAATTAAAAATAAAAATAAATAAATAATTTATATTTAAAATAAAATAAAATATATTATACAAAAAGATTCTTATATATTTATAAAAAATGCTTCTAAGTTTCTAAAAACTTATTTAGATATTTTATTAAATAATATTAGGAGTTAGCTGATATTAATAATTCTATAAATTAATATTATCTCCGTCCAGCTCTAAGGGTTCTATTTACTTTTTGCGTGTTGATATTTGAATATTACTTATTACATCAAAAAGAAAAAATTAAAAAAGTACTTCTATTAATGTGTTATAATACTAATAGAAGGACATTTGTAAAAAAAAATTATATAAATATAAGGATATTTGAATGTTAAATACAATGACGCAAAAAATAAATGTGATATTTAGAGGCGGACGAATGAAGTATAATTATATAAGTCTTTAATCATATAGGACTCTAATACATTAAAGTAAATATAAGATTATGTCTGATAAAATAAGATTTTATCTATCATAATCTCAGGTAGTAAACACATCATTTGCGTCGAAATCAATTATAGCATGTATTGTTAGTATATGTGTTATTTGTACTCCTACGTGTTAACATAAATTGTATATTGTTTATGTTTATATCATGTACTATTATTATATATATTGACTACTAAAAATGTTTGACATGTTTTTTTTTTACAATTTTAAACAAAATCATACTATTCATTTGATACAATTTTTAATGAAATATATTATTTCTTCTCATAAATTATTATATCAAAATAATATTCAAACAAAAATTAAAATAGTTATTTATAGTAATATAGACAAATATTTAGAATTTATTTCTTTATTTCCTTTAAGTAATTCATTGATAATTGCTTAATATATTCTTAATAATTTCATAATTAGTACTTGCTCCGTTCCGGATAAATTATTCACGTTACTGTAGATACGAGATATAGTATAATAAAAATAATTATAGATTAAAATTAAGATTAAGAAAATTATAAATTATGAAATTTAAAATACGATCAAAATGTATAATTATATTTAAAAAAAAACAAATTATGTGCGACGGATATAAATGAAAAATGTGGACAATTTATGTGAGACAATACTTTGAAAGAATTCTAATTTTAAATTCCATCCACAATAATTTCAATTTTAAATAATTCGACTAATGAATGGTCTAAAAGTATATTTAGGAGTAAAAATATGTCAAATTTATTTTGAAAAACTAAGGCTTTGTTTACATTGCACATTACATTTTTTTCCTCAAAAAATATCACATTAAATACCAATTTTATTTCTTTTTTCAAACTTTCAAAATACCATTAATCCTTATCTAAACAAAGCTTACAACTTAGCCTCACCTATTAGCATGGAAAATAAGATAAAAAAAAGAAAAGAAAAAAGCTCCGGTAGATTGTTGGTTTATTCCTATGCCTAAATATATTCAAATAAAGAAAGTACTTCATCCGTCATTCAAATTTATGTTTATTTGTTTTTTTTGTTATTGAAAAATATTTTCGTTTCATTTTTAAATAAAATATTATTATATTTTTTTTACTATAAAAAAAACTATTATTACTCATTATTATTAAAATCCGTACCCGATCAAATGAGCACACGTTTGCATGACACTAAGGGAGTCTTATATACACCCAAAGGATAAAATGAATACCCGAGAAGGTAGTAACTAGACAGTAGTAAATATAAAAAGGTATATATATCAAGAAAAAAACAAACAAATTGCAAATATATGATGCAATGGCCAAATGTATGCCACCTGATTTCTGGTAATCTCGTCACATTAAATAACACTATTTTGCAAAGTGACAAAATTCCTTACATCAATTATATGAAAAAGGCCACCAAAAGTCCTCCTCTATTCAATATATGTATGTATATGAATAAATTGCCAGAGATTCATAAATGTGTACACTAATAGATAACATAATACAATCTGTCAACAAATTAAAAAAAACAAATGAATAATAATAATAATAATAAGATCCAAATTAATCTCCCAGACATACATACCAAGGTGTTCTTTTAGCTTGTTGGATGTTTGATGATCCTCTGGAGAATAACAGTCCTCGCCCGTCGAATATCCCGGCTGCAATTATCGGCTTGGGCTCCCAATTCCTCGATGTTCTTTGTGAACATGTCCAGCTTCTTCTTGATCTCCTCAACACCAAGTTTGACAGTCACCTTATTGTTGATGCACAGATCAGCATTTCCTAAAAGGGATTCGATCTCAATCTCCAGCTTATCGATCAAAACACGAATATTGTCCATGTCTTTGATGGTAACATATGTCCCTGCATTCATGTAGTTTATGATCTCTTTCTGCCCCTTCACTGCATTTTCGTAGTTCTTGAGAAGTGAATCGATCCACTTCCCCATCGATCCCAACGGGATTGATGTTGCAGCCGCCAGCGCAGCTGCCACAGGTGGCGCTGCCATGGCGGCTGCAACCACAGAACATATCAGGACAGCAGCAAATGTGGCGGCGAATATGATGCTGGAGACCTTCCTCCAGGCATGGATGTATTTGAGCTTCTTGTCCAGTTTGTTCTTTTTCAGTTGAAGCTTTTCGAGCATCAGAATCTGCTGTGTATAAACTGAGTGAAAGATATGGAAGAATTCTTGGGTGAATGGATCCCCTGCATCTTTGAAGTTCTTCAATTCTTCCAATGTTTTTGAATACCTTTCATTTCCTTCTCCTCCATCTTCTTCGAATTGTTGGATCGCGACGTGGATGAGCAGCTGGTTGTCCCTCGCGCGCTTTAAGCATTTCTCCAATGCTGCGCAGAAGTCGAGTGTTTTCAAGCTGTTGTCGAAGTATTCCTCGACTAGCTCGAATAATTCTTGACTCTTCCATATATCCTTTTTGCAATCCAGAATCACCTTAACAACTTCCTGATTCATCTCCAATAGGCACTCTGTGACTTCCTTGAGGGAATCAAAGGATAAGGCGCGAACTTCGACTCCTGCGGCGAGGGAATTGAGAACATTGTTGGTTCGAGCATGGAGTGTGGTGTCGAATGACTGCAAATCAACATCCAGCCTGCAGGCTGCCTCGTACAAGTTTAGCTCGTGCGTGTAATGGAGATTGTTGATTTCATTTGCGCCTGATGCCTCCCCAGGCTTCTTGCTCATGTGGCTTCCCATGGCGGATGGCGTCGAGAATTCTGACCTGCGTTTAAAGTTCGACATGAACTGAATGTTAAAATCGGAATCGGATCATTTTAGGCTCTTCGAATAGCCACAAGGCTGCAGCAGAACTGCAGAAGCATCCTCAACACTGATAATCACAGATTCACAATCTAATGTTCAAAGAGGAGAAGAGAATCATATTCAGAAAACAGATGAACAAAATTTCAAAGATGAGATAACATTCCTATTCAGGAAACATGAATTTGACTAGTCGATCCGCCATTAAAGCAGCAAACCAATTAGAATTTCACACAAGCAAAACCAGATCCCAATCACTAACCTGTATATCAAATTAATCTATATTTGCAACTGATTTCCACACGTAAACACAACCCAGCGGAACTCATAAGCATTGTGCGCCGAAAAAAAAAATAATAAAGAATAACCGCCCTAAAATTTATAGGGTTCAGCTCTCAATTCAGAGAATCCTACCTACTCACACAAAGTTTCTCCGCAAATCGCCTCGAAAAAACACAATATCACAAAGTGCTAGTTGAAGCGTAGCACATCCCAAACATCAATCACTCCGGAAACAGACAAGAAGCAATTGATTGCCGCGTCACCTGGATATGCACCTTTATAGAAAGAAAGAAAACGAAAATGGCAGAAAGCAAACGCGATGATATATATATATATAGATAGATAGATAGATACAGAGAGAGAGAAGCAAAAGCAAAAGCAAATTCAAAATGAAAAAAGCAGATAATCAATGATTGAAGAAGCTTGAAGAGAAATAATGAAAACCGTTAGCGGGAGGAAGGGAAATTGTGGCGGTGGTGATGGGGGTTGATATAATGAAGAAATGTATAGCTTGCACGCATGAGTTGAATTCAAGGAATGGAATCAACTGCAAATGGAAAAAGCGGGAAGCAATGTCTTCCTCTTCTCTCCACTATATAGATACATACACATTACCATCTACACACACACATAAATGCGTAAAGACAGGACGCCATAGCCAGTTTTAACTGTGCACCATTGCCGGGTCAGATTCTCAGATGCTTGAGCTCAAAGAAACGCCAATTTATATTATTTATTTATTTATTACTCACTTAAAAATTACTAATATTTGCGCGTGGCTGTTAGTATTTTTTTTTTAAAAAAATAAATTATTATATACGTAATATTTAAAATTTTGATATTAATTTAATTTTGTTTGAAAAAAAATCATAGTACTATTAGATACTTCCTCCCCAAAAAGTATATTGGCATGAACTACACACAAATTTTAATTACAATAATTTTTTCTTCGATTTAATTGAAATTATATATTTTTATTATAATAAAAATAATTATATTAATATCAAAATAGGATTTTAACTTTTATATGAATTACATGCATGTAAAATATAAAAGACAAAAATATCAAAATCAGTTTATACATTTTCATTAACAAAATGTTATTATTTTTTAATATATTATAAAACCTCAATTTACTCATTTGTATTGAAACATGTAGAATAATATATTAGTTTATAATAATATAAAACATAAATATTTTGGAAAATATGTAGGTAAGTTAATGAGATAAGAATTTTTGAATGTGAAAAAACATTGTGGATAGTGGCGCTGAGTTGACTTATTTGGAGTTGCTTTATTTATTTATTTATTTTAATTTTTAAAATTATAAATTTGATTTATAAATTTAATTTTTTTAAAAAAAAATTTAAAAATTTTATTTTAAATTATAAAAATAAAAATTTATTTAAAATAATAAAAAAAATTGAATATTTGAAGAATAATAATGAAAAATAGAATTATAGTTGAAGTAAAATTAGTTAAAATAAGTAGAGTTGATGGGTTGGAGATGACCTTAATAAAAAAAATTATAATATCGAATGATATAAATTACCTACTATAAGAATATTTTACTAGAAAATAATAATTCATCTGGTCCCTTATGATTAAGTTAGATTATTTTAGTTGTTCCTTAAACTTATGTTAAATTCTTCTATAGTAAAATAGTTATGCTAAATTTTATCGATCTATAATTTTATTATTCATAGCTTAATAAATAACAATTCACTTGTCATTATTTTTATTTTATTTTATTTTATCTTGTCACTTTTTATCAATTTTTTTAATAATTTTTTATAATACTTTTATTTTAATTTTTATCTATTTTATTTTTACATTAAAAATATTATTTCCTCCGTCCATTTTGAAAGTTTACATTTATTTTTTGCATGTTGATATTTAAATATTAATTATTATATAAAAATAAAGTACAAATAAAAAAAAGATCAAAAATATTTATATTAGTATCTTATAATATTAATAGAACAACGCTTATAAAAAAAATATACAAATTATAAAAATATTTTTAATGTTAAATATAATGACACAAATGGTAAATATTAACTTATTAAGTGGACGAATGATATATTATTCTTTAATTTATGTGCCCAAATAATATATAAATTTGATGGATTTAAAAAGTGCTTATTTTTTCTTTATAAAATATTTAATTTTTTTTTTCTAAAATAATCTAATTTAAAAAATCTCAATTCAAAGAGACTATTTTGGTTTCCAATGTTACAGTGAAAATTATCAAATGGTAAAATAAAATTGTTTTTCACTTAATTTTCTTTTGAAGCTATATTTTATTTTTAGTAAGATAATTATTAAATATAATATTTTTATATAAAATTATAAGATTGTATAACGAAAAGGGCTTAAAAAATCAAAATGGACCGACCAAACACACTCGGTCTTTAAGTTGTACTTCCTCCGTCCCACTTATCAAGTCCATTTTACCGTAGAAACGAAAATTTAAGATGGAACGAACGGAAATAAAAATGTGAAAAATATTAAGTAGGACGGAGGGAGTATTATTTTTGTGACAAAAATTATTGTTGTTTCTAACATTATTTGTCAAAAAATTTACAACTTTTATCTTATTTATATGCAATTTTTTCAATGTTATCATTCTAGTTACACTTATAACAATATTATTGAAAAAGAGAAAAGGTAAAATAATTTACAAAGTTTCAAAAATAAATTTGATTTTAATTTAATTAAAACTAATATTTATATTGATATTTTAAAGTAAATTTATTAAAAATGCGCTGAACTGACTAACAATTATTTTAACCATATTTTCTCCCTAATTGTTACTTTATTGTCCCAAATCATATTTTTTTGGCCTAATTAGCAGAGCGCACCCACATTGTAAAAAAATAAAATTAATGTAATCTTTACCTAATATTTCAATTAGATGTACGAGACTTTCCAATTTGAATTTTTAATTTTTTCTATGTTAATTTTTAGAATTTTCGTTAATTATATCGTTTTATTGATTAATTTTTCTTTGGGAATTTTGAACAATGCAACCTGCTTAATTGTTACCTTGTGGGATGATAATGACGGCAAACTTTTAGGAAAATGCATTATTAATTTATTTATTTGCATACGGAAATCCCAACACGCTCTTCAGGTGCAATGGAAGATATGCGAGATTTGTACATAAATATGCTGAAATAGGGACAATGGAACTCAAATTCGAGACCTAAAGTTCTGATACTATGTTAGATTATCGAAACGATCATTTACATCATCTAACATACCTGTTGGATGACAGAATTTGTGTTGTAAGAGAAATTGATTATGTTATTTGAAGTAAAAAGATGATGAGTGACGACTCATTCCAATTCCGAAGTGTTTTAACCAAGGGGGAGGAAAGAGAAAGAAGTAACAAGGGTCATTGGTTGCTCAGGTCATGAGTTCAACCCTCACGTCTCCAAATTTTGTCAGCCACACATGGTTAGCCTACTCCAATGCATTATATCTCTCTTGTATTGACCAATTACCCACCTCCAAATTTTGTCAGCCACACATAGCGATTGATGATTGATCGGTATAGGAGAGCACAATACGATGGGGGTGAGGTAACTGAACCCATATTCGATTTATCATAACTTAATTGCAGTGTGTCTAATTACTTGCTGTGGAGTTCTTGTAATTATTATACTTATCAAAATTGGATGCATATTTAAATTAGCAATCTAGGTAGAGATGGATAAAATATTCTGAGTTGACATGTTGATTAGTAATACTCTACTTTCTCTAATTCATTATAATGTAGTGCTATATTTAATTAAATTCGGCTCTAAGATCTCATTTATTTTTTGCATATTGATAATTAATATCAAAACGTAGTATAAATTAAGAAAAAGTTGAAAAAATATTTTTCTTAGTGTCTTGTAATACTAATAGAATGATATTTATTAAAAAAAATTATACAAATATAAAAATATTTTTAATTTTAATTATAATAATGCAAAAGATAAATGTATATGTTAGAAGCGGATGGAGGGAGTATCATTTATGGAACTGTGGTATTCTTATGCCTTAAATAGATGTATAGTAGTAGAACTAGACCATATTAAATTGAGTACAAAGATGGAGATCCAGCCCCGGAATTTTATTTATTTTTTTAGTGTAAAAATTATTATTATTTTTATTATATTAATTTACCGACATTTAGCCTCTTGAAGTTCGAGGACTGGCTCAGTCGCTGTGTAGCGTGATTGGGATAAGACAAGAGCATGAAGCCATGAAATATATATGGATTATTCTTTATTAATTGTGTCTAAACTTCTGTCTTTTTTTTTTCTTTTTTTTTTAATGAAAATTAGATAGTTCATCTAATGACAATGGTGTGATAGGACTTTATTTTTATTGATGTTTTGGAAGTGAGAGTAGTTGTTAGACATATTTTCGGAGAGGAAAAGAAAATGTAGATTTAATAGTAAAAATTTGGAAATAAGATACAAATGAACATAATGATTTTACGATCCGTTGCTTAATTACACATCATCTAATACTTTCGCGTCACTTTTATATGCATATAGGTCTGTCAATCAGACCCGTTCCGGTTATATTTTTTTCGGATTCAAAACCTCATGTGGATACCAGGCCGGTATCCGAATTCGGATCCATTTTATATGGTTTTGAATCTACTATTTCTAGTTCTGATTCAAAACTTATTCAAATCCGATTGTTTATATATATACTATTATTTATTAATGTACTTATATAATTAAATGTTCCATGTATAATGTTCTGGTTTTAAATGATTTATTTGGTATTGCAATGATAATGTTAATTAGATATTTTTTATATTAAATTTAAATGTTAATTTTTATTTTTTTAAGTATAGATAAATTTTATACATGATCCAAACTTGAATTCAAACTTAATTTATTGGATACTAGACCCGAATCCGGATCCAAACCGGACTTGAACCGACGGGACCGAATCTGGTCACCATCTTTTAAGTTTCAACGGATCCGATTCCGGATCCGGGAACCACAACAAGTGGTCGGATCCAGATATGTAATTTCAAGATCCGGACCGAATCCGACCTGTTGACAGGCCTATATGCATACATGAAATTTGTATAATATGAAAACCGTGAAAAATCCAAAAATTTGTTATTCCAACAATATTTGATAGTGGGGCTATGGAAGGTGAAAGGGGTAGTAGTTCCAACTTTCGTGCAATGTCAAAAGTGCGTTATCTCCGACAAAACCTAATACCTTGCAACCTTAGATTCAACAAAACAAGTCACATTAGGCTAACCATGATCTTACAATCACAAGTTCATTTCTACACAACCAGATCATCCCTTATGGGACTATAAAACTGCATATGAAATGTTATTACCATTTTGTTGACTTCTTGTCAATTTTTATATTTTCTGTAACATTTGTTGACTTGTTGTCTATGAAGCTGCATATGAAACGTTATTACCATTTCTTGATCCGCTTTGTCCAACATTTGATGATACATTGAAATTCTAAATTATATTTCTACCCATTTTGACTCGTATTGGTAGTTAATATGTAAACTATCATAAAAACAATGTATATCTTAATTCATTCAATTTTCAAATTATAATAGACTCCAAATATGTTTGATGTCAAATTTTGTGGTTTAGCCTAGCTTAATTAAGCAGAAATTTGAACTTTGTTTGCTATAATTTTAAGATATTTTGTGAGTAATAAAACAGTAATGGTTCTTTTTTCACTTGACAGACGTTATTTGGTGAAACTTTCCTGCAAATTGTTTGCTCAATCGATCAGTTGATATATTTGTTAAGTTTTTAGATGAGATTGTCGTTTACATAATTTCCTTCTAGTCTCACTATCATCTGTTTGATTGATGTAAGTATTTGCTTTATTACCAAGAAATATACATATTTAAAAATGCTGAATGGATTTTGGTACACCATGCTATAAATGAAAAATATAATTTATATTTTAAAATATATCAAAATAAAATTTATTTACTTAAATGCTATTTGGGTAAAAATTTACATAAACAATTTATGTTAAATCAAATTTAAATTCCAATAAAATAAACTCAATAAATACAATAAAATTTACATAAATAATTTATGTTAAATCAAATTTAAATCCCAATCAAATAAACTCAATAAATACAATAAAAACCTGTTCATTAAGCTGCAGGCCCGTGACGTGTACCGCCAAAGCATTTGTCAGCTAACCTTCACGGATCCTTGAAAATGAATGCCGTGTTTATATTTAACCTTTTGTAAAATTTCGAAACCAATTATTTCTCACTCGGTCGTTTAATTTTATTCTTATATATATTTGATATTATAAAAAAAAATAAAAAAACAATCTTTTTTTAAATAAAAAATTATTACTATTTTTTTATATATTTTTATTATATAAAAAAATTACAAATAACCAAAAAAAATACACTCTTTGTTTTTTTCCAGCTTGCTAATGGGTTCATTCAATCTTTTGTAAAATTTCGACACCAATTAATACTATGAGAGAATGTGTGTAGAGTTATTTTAAAGAAAAATGACGCTCCTTAAAATAATAAAAATTGAATATTTAATGTTATAAATTATAAAAATAATAAATATTTGATATTTAGAAAAAAAATTACTATCAATAAATAATCAAAATTTTAAAAATACACACAATAATGTTATTATTTCTAATTCAAATTTTTTAGTATTCAAATCCCAATTTAAAAATACATACCTCCAAACAAACACAATCCTAAAGACCCGTGAAGGCACTGTCAATTCCCAAACATTTCATCCATCTAAATCATTACAAACCTTTCTTTATGTTTCTATTTACGCATATATATATATATATATGTTAAAATTAATATTACTATTTCCGTCCACCTAAAAAATATATATATTTTTATTTTGGGAAGTCAAATTACAAAGTAAATATTTCATTAAATACTTCAATTTTTTTTTTTTTCACAAATATCTTTACTTTACATAACATCATTATTTTTACATAAAGATAAAAATTTCATTACACTATTTTTAACTGTCCACTATAATTAAAATACTATTACTTTTTATATACCGTGCCAAAAATAAATATTTATTTTTTTATGTTGACGGAGTGAGTATTAATTAACAGTAATGTTTAATTATTTTAAAACTCTTAGTTTTATATAAATATTTTTTTAAAAAATATTACATTAAATATAATTTATATATATTTTTTCACAAACACCACATAATATATCACACATTTTATTATTTTTAAAATTTGAAAACTTTTATTTAAATCACATGCAAAGGAAGCAAAATATTGAAAAATGGAATAAGCCCATATACACATGCATGATGCATGGTCATGTTGGTGCCCACACAAATAAATTTATTATTCTTATCCGAATAAGAATGAATAACAAGCCATAAACTCTAGGACAAGCACATTATTCCATCAAAAAATAAAAAATAAAAAATAAAAAACAAAAAACAAAAAATTCTTCAGACAACCACACGTATGCGTATATTGGGTATCTTTCTTTACCACTGTTTTTTAAAAAATATATATTTTAAACAAAATATCATATTATATATTATTTTAATACCAAATCTAAACCAAATTTTTTCTTTTGTTTTTTTTTTATATATTCATTTTCTATTATTTTGAATAGTCTAAAATAGTTAGTAAAATATTTCATCCTTTCTAGTTCAATGTATCTTTTTACCATTTTTCGTTCAGCTCACCCGAAAGTATGTCTTTCATTTTTTAGTAAAAGTGAATTTACATTAATACAAGATACTTTTTAGTTAAATTACAAATATACCATTACACATAAAATTATATTTTAAGTAAATCAAAAAATAAAAATATCAAAACCTTTTGCTCACTTTCACTAATAATAAAATACTACTCTCTTCGTCCGGCTCTAAGGGTCTTATTTATCTTTTGCGTCATTGTATTTAATATTTAAAATATTATTATATTTGTATAATTTTTTGCACAAATATCATTATAATAATACTATAAGACACTGATAGAAGTATTTTTATCATTTTTTATTTGTACTAAGTTTTCATATAATAATTAATGTTCAAAGATCAACATTGAAAAAATAAATGAAACTCTTAGACTCGGACATAGTATTATTTTCTAATCTACTAAAAACTTAAAATCCTTTTCAAGAGGCAGTCTCTCTTTCTCTATATAAAACCTTACCTGACCCCAACAAGAACTCATCGATCCATACACATTAATGTAATATATATATATAGATCTAGGTTTGGGTATGGGTGTAAGCTGGTGGAGAGTGTTTGTTGCGGTGGCGGCGTTCTTGGCAGCCGCCGCCGTATTGGTGGTGGCAGGAAAGGACAACGGGAACGGGTTCTGCGGGATGAGCCAAGAGCAGCTGTACGAGTGCAAGGCGGCGGTGGCGACGGGCAGTGCAGTTCCGCCGCCGAGTAGCACGTGCTGCGAGGCGCTGGCGATGGCGAACGTCACGTGCTTCTGTGACTTCAAGAACAACATCTACTTGCCTTTGCTGGGGATTAATGCTACCAGAGCCATGCAGCTGCCCTCCATTTGTGACCCCAAAAAAACTGCTACCTGCAACTAAATTTAAGTAATTATTAATTTATAAGCTTGTCTGTCTATGTGCGCCTTTTTTTTAATTTAGATGTGAGGATTCGTAGTCGTTACCTTCAAATAAATTTTCTGTTTATTAATTATCGGTTGAGGATGAGATATGTATGCATGTATACGACTGATGTTTTTGAAGAACTATTATGGACGGATGAGATCCTCAGTACTATTTGAATTGTATTATAATTTTTTTAGTTTGTTAAAATGCATACCGTAGTTTGAAGGTGAGTTGAGATAACTCGTAGCAGAGTGAATTAGGTAGCGGACGGGAAATATAATACTCTCGTTTGGACTTTGGATACTAATAAAACCATTGAGGGCTGTTGACAATACGGAAATCTTGTTCGAAATTCACCTTTTCCTTATTGGGCTCGGGCATATATGTTTGGAATTGATTCCATTTTGGAGAGTTGAAAAAGCACTATCTCGTTGAAAAGTTCTATACATATGGCTCCAATAAAAAAAATATTCTTGTGATACCGATTCGAAATGTCCCGAAATCCCCCGCTCTTCGGGGCTGTCCTCATCGTCGAGGTTCATAACTCTGCTGCGTAAAAACGGGATATGCGTAATTTAATCGCATTTTAAATTTTAAATTTTATAATTTTCTTAATTTTAATTAAACTATTTACTTATCTTAATCTTGATATGTAATTATTTTTACTAAATAATACTCCCTCCGTCCACAAGAAAAGTATACAATTACTTTTGGCGCAGTGTTTAAGAAATAATAGTATTTTAATTATAGTGGGTAGTTAAAAGTAGTGTAATGACATTTTTGCCCTTGCTTTTTGGTGTAAAAGTAATGATGTGATGTAAAGTAAGGGTATTTGTGGAAAAAAAGTAAGGTATTTAATGAAATGTTTACTTTGTAATTTGACGTCCCAAAATAGAAACATGTATACTTTCTAGCTGGACGGAGGGAGTAATTATTTTTACTAATACATTTTTTAATTACTTACTAATTATACTTTATCCCGTGTCTACAGTAATAAACTCATATTACATGGGACGGAGGGAATAATTATTATCCCGTATTTAGTTTTTTTTTTAAATTTATACAAAAATATAAAGAATTAAATTATCAAATTTATCTTATACATTTTCTCTAATAAATAGTATAATATTATTATTTTTTGACCAGCTAAAAAAACAAAATGATATATTTAGTTGGTACAAATGAAATATTATGTATAGTATAATTATAATATACTTTTACGGTTATATTTTGTAAGAGTTTTGAAACATGTTTTATATTAAATTAAAAAATTAATTTACTAAACATTTCATATTATGTTGAATTTTGTTTTTTTTTTTTTCCTTTAATTCTTTCTTTTGTCTATGTCGCTCGCTTCTTTACAGTGATTTTTCATTGTTTGTTTTATTTGTCTTTCATATTTTATTGTTCTATATTTTTTTTCTTCTTATTGATTGGTTTGTAAAATCAATTATATTCCATTTTTAAAATATTTGCTATTATTATTATTATTATTATTTTTAAATAAAAAACCAACTAATAACATTTAGAATTAAAATTATTTTATATTTATTATTGGAACTGTACTATACAATATTTTAACTATTTTTTTGGATATTAATTATAAAATATTTATAATTTTAGTATTTTTTAATATTGTTAATAAGTCCGGGTTAAACAAGCTAATCTTACCCCACCCTACTGTGAGTACCTACAAATAATTCATTTATTTGTGAATTATAGTAAATTATGGATTAATATTAAAATTGCCCAAATAAAATAAAAAACAACTATGTTTTAAATGGCCCAAAAAATTATTGTTGATGGGCCTGAATTATTGGCCCATCTTCTATTGTTTTAATATACAATAATGTCATTGCTAGGGTTTTAGTTTGATACTCAATTCCTGCCGTCTATAAAATCACTGGGGAGGCGGAGCCGCTTCAACTTGGTAGCGCTTATTTCACCAACGCCGGCGATTTTCCGGCGATGACGCCTCCGTCGCGGTGGTGTGTCTCTTCTCTCGGCTTAATTTTGCTTTGTTAGCTTTGTTGTTTGGTGTGCAATTCTAGTGATCTTTTAATAGCGTAATTTGCTCTGCTCTGCCTTCATAATCCCAGATAAGCTTATAAAACTGGTTCTTATCTGATTCATGGGAGGCAAAGAATAAATCGTGGAAGTTTCGCTGATAACGCCGTTTCTTCTCGCAAAACGGTGTTTACTAGTATCTCTACCACACAATGATGCATCTATTTTCGCGTAGTTTGTGGATACGACGACGTCGTATCATCATTTCAGATTTGGTTTTAAGCTGTATGTATATGTATGATTTTTTTATATGATTTAAAAAATGAAATAGTTCGTTCTATTACATTTTGAATGAATCACGTGGATTTGATCTTTTCACTTTTATTTTTTACAGACAATAAAATTAAATGGCAAAAGAGGTTTGTTTACTTGGGCTATGTTTTCTGTTTTTCTGTAGGCTTTGACTATTAGATCAGGCCCAATGTTTTGTATGAAAAAATATTTTGATATTTATAAGAGATTATTGATTTGTATTTTAAAATATTAAAACGGACTTTTGATGTTACAGAGGTGTATTTGTTTTTTTTTTAATTATTATTATTTTTATAAAGTGCACACTGGCTAAATTCTTGGTCGAACCTAATATTTTGCAAATCAGACCGAACCATATGTGGTTTAGGGTTGAGGCAGGTGGCCTGAGGCATCGAGGTTTTGAACCCATGACCTCACTCTCACAAGTTTAACTCCTACAAAACTATAGAGTTAAAATTTTTGTACTCCATTTGTTCCATAACATAACAAAGTATCTATTTTTTCATTTTAGTCTGTCTCATAACAAAGTATTCATTTTTTTTGTAACTTTACTATCTACCTAACATTACAAATATCTTTACAACTTATAATATATTACACAAATGTCATTACATTTATATCTCATATACTAATAAGGTTATTTTAGTCATTTTTACTTTATTCATACTATATTTCAATATAATACTAATGTCTAAAATTACGTGCAAAAAACAAATGAATATTTAGTTTTGGGACGGATGGAGTATTAATTTATAATAAAGTATATGTATTTTTATGAAATGGGAGTTGTTTGATGTAGTAATATGAATAGTAGTATTTTATTGATTAGTGAAAATGTTCAAGAAAAAAATTATTCTATGAATAGTAATGTTCCAATTTTCATGAATCAACATTATATTAATATAAATATTATTTTGTAAAGAATAAATTTTTTTTAATATAAATAAATAAAAATTTTAAATATATATTTATAATTAAAATAGTTTAATTTTAAAAAGAAGTAGGAAATTTGTTTATTGAATATAGTTAGAATAGAAAATTTTGAAACATATGTGGCGGTTTCAGACTTTATAGTCTATGACAATGATCAATACATTAATTAATTTTGAAAATTAAATGTTACCATTGATATGTAAGTATAATATTACAATATGTCAATTGGAGCTAATGAGTATTATTAGTCGGTCACATTATTTACTCAATAAGGCATTTTTATTTATATGCAAAACAAACATGATGGTATCTTGTGCTTAATTAATTATGTATGTGTTACTCTCGTTTTTAGTCAAATTTTTTCCAGAAAAAAATAAATAAATAAATAAATTATGAGTATATAAAAATATGGCGGGCTGGTATATATTTATTATAATTGTCTATATCCGATAATACAATAATATAGATGTACATATTTGACTTCTCTATTGTGTAACATTGCAAGAATTAATATATATCTTACACGCATACAAAGTAGAGATGAGCAAAATATTCGAAATTCAAAAATTTGATTCGAATCAAATTGAATTTTAAATTTTGGTTCGGATTTTCGAATTAGTTTGAATTGAATATTTTGTAAATTTTGAATTTTCGAATCAATTTGAATGAGTATTTACATAGATATTTTTTTAAGTTCCGGCAATATTCATCTGATCATCAAATTTTGAAATATTACATTGAATATTGTGTTTGTTTTATAAAATGGTTTGACGGGATATTTTTTTTTTTATGTGAATTATAAAAAGTTGTATAAATAATATAAAAATAATAAATATATGTAATATACTCCATCCGTCCCACATAATTTGTTCATATTTTTTATTTTCGTCTGTCTCACATAACTTATATAACTTGTCATTTTTATTTTTGGAAATATAATTATGCACTTTAGTCGCATTTTAAATTTTATAATTTGTTTAATTTTAATTAAACTATTTACTTATTTTAATCTTAATCTATAATTATTTTTACTAAATAATAATTATTTTTACAAATGCACTTTTTAATTACTTATTAATTATAATTTAGCTAAATTCTTGTGTCTACACTGATACACCCATATTACATTGGACAGAGGGAATAATATTTTTTTGGAAAAATTTGTTGAATAAATAAAAAGAGAACGCACTTTTTTTTATAATATATTATATAGTTTTTTACTCTATTTTTGTTTTTTTTTAAAAAAATTAATCCAAAACTAAAAAAATCATAAATTTCTATTTAAAAAAAAAAAAAGAAACTCCAAAACTAAAAGAATTGTAAGTAGGGCCATTCATATTTTTATAAATAAATTTGAGATTATACAGTAAAATAAAAATTTAACAAAAAAATAAAAAGAGTATCTGTTAAGTGAAATTACATTTGTTGAATAATAATAAAGCTATGATTGCACCCTTAAAATAATGAACTAATTATGTCCACAAATTTGAATGTTTGACTCAATAAAACCAATTGGTGAGTCAACCCCAAGGACTACTTAAATACTACTCCCTCGCTCCCATGTAATACAGGTCTATTATCGTAGATACGGAAATTTAAGTAAAGTATAATTAATAAATAATTAAAAAATGTATTAGTAAAAATAATTATAAATTAAGATTAAGATAACTAAATAGTTTAATTAAGATTACGAAAATTTTAAATTTTAAATTTTAAATTTTAAAATATAATTAAAGTTTATAATTAATTTTTCAAAAAAAAAATGACAAATTATATGGGACGGACGAAAATAAAAAATAGGGACAAATTATGTGGGACGGAGGAAGTAAAATAAATCCAAACCAGATTGGACCTTACTTCTGTATCGAATAAATTTATGATTTGCGCTCTCATCACACTCATACATAATAATCATTTCTGTCTTTGTGTTAATTTTGTTTTTAGCATTTTCAATTTTTAAAAAGTTGAAATGATTTAGATGTGATGTCATATTTTTATACTCTATTCAGTGGACAAATGGAGTAAATATTACTTCATTTTTATTTTTTTTATTACTCTTTCCGTCCAACAAAAAATATTTTATTTTTTATTTTTATTTATCTCAAAATAAAGATACTATTTTTTAATTTAATAATTGTACTATCTATTAATATAATAAATAGTCTTCCAATTTACAACATATTACACAAATGACATTATTTTTATATTACACAATATTAATAAGAGTATTTTCGTCTTTTTTTATTACAATCTAATATAATATTAATACTTCCCCCGTCGCATTGAAATGTTACCATTTTCCATTTTCGTTCGTTCTAAAACAAAGTTACTATTTTTTAATTTAGTAACTGTACTACCTACTTAACATAATTAATACCCTTTCAACTTACAATGTATTATACAAATATCATTACTTTTATATTACACCATACTAGTAGGGGTATTTTTGTCTTTTTTACTACAATCTAATATAATACTAATATTCAAAAATCTACGTGCAAAGAAGCAAACGCCACCCTTCCAACGGGACGGAGAGAGTATTAAAAAATTTACGTATAAAATGCAACCGTTATTCTTTATGTGAGACGGATGAGGTATTTTGGTTCGTTCTACCTCAAAATATCTGTTTCATATGTTTGGTAATCTTTCTTAATTAATTAATTAATTAATAATCCCTCTCCCAATATATGTACGTCCTGTTACACAAGACATTCTTACTCATTTGGTATTATTTAATTTTAAAAAAATATTGTATCAAATATTTTTTTTTTCTCACAAAAAATCAAATTAAATATTAACTTTTTATCAAAAATTCCTATCTAAACAAACACGTGTGATGAGAACTATATTGTAACAGGCGACATGTACAACAAAGTTATGAAAAACAAAAATACAACAAATAATAATGTGTGTGCAAGTTGCAAATTATGTAATGCAATCAACCAAACATGACCAATGGAATCCTCAGCCACTCTCTCTACTCTAGGCATTGCAATCTGTCTTATCCACGATTTAATAATAATAATAATATCCATATTTCAAACTACACTCTTCCTCTTCGTCTTCTTCATCCCTCACTCATATATATATATATATATATATACACATCTACCTGTATGCATTCACACACACATATGTCCTGAACAGATAGATAATAATCAAAATCAGTCCTCCATCAGTACTACTATGGCAGCAGATCAGTCGAAAACGGAGAAGAACGATGACCCTACCCGTATGCCCATACCCGCTTTCGACCCGCCCAGAAAACCCAAAAGAAACAAATACGCCTTGCTCTGTGCATTCTTAGCTTCGCTCACCTCCATCTTGCTCGGATATGGTAATAATTACCATTAACTCTCTCTCTCTAGATATACATACATATATATATATATATGTTCTTGTGTAATTAATTAATTAATTAAATGCAGATATAGGAGTGATGAGTGGTGCGATTATTTACATCCAAAAAGACCTCCGAATAAGCGACGTTCAGAAAGAGGTCATTATGGGCATTCTCAACGTCTACTCTCTAATCGGCTCCGCCGCCGCCGGCCGTACGTCGGACTGGATCGGCCGCCGCTACACCATAGTCTTCGCCGGCGCGATATTCTTTGTCGGCGCCTTGCTCATGGGGTTCGCCCCTAACTACGCCTTCCTGATGGTCGGCCGATTCGTCGCCGGCGTCGGCGTCGGCTACGCCCTCATGATCGCCCCCGTTTACACGGCGGAGGTCGCCCCCACCTCCATCCGCGGCTTCCTCACCTCCTTCGCCGATCTATTCATCAATTTCGGTAACTACTTAATTAATTAATTAATTTTTCTGGTTATATATGTTGGGTATTTAATTTAAAAAAGTGGACTATGAATAAATTAATTTGTTCCATATTTTATATAATTAATTTATTTTGATTGAAAAAAATTAAATAATTGAATAAAATAGTAATATGTTGCAATCGAAATAAATAGTTTTTCTTCGTGATTAAATACAAAATAATGCACAATAATAAAAGAATAATAGTATCATATTAATAGTAAGTATGAAAGTATTTTTAAAAGAAAAAAAAGCTTCTTTTACTTTATGTAATTATAGTGAAAAATTGAGGATAATTTTATTTAAAAAATAAAGAGTTTGTTACTAAGAATTAAAATAAGATTATTGTTTTAAGAAAAAAAAAAAAAAATTATTGTTTTACGATGGGAAGTATATTATATTTTTCTCCCTCTCTGAAAAAATATGAAAAATCAATTCTCAAGTCTCTCAATTCTCTCTTTTAAATCTTTAGAAATTTATCTGTAAATTTGTTTTTTTTTTTATTCAATTTGCAGAATTTTTTTTGATTCATTTTATTCGGGAGGACCAAAAAAATTATGTGGCACGCGAGGCTAGGATTTTATTTCGCAAATGATCTGATTTGTGTTTTTCAGATTCCGCAGTATCTCAGATCAGCTAATAAAATTTTCAACAATATCTTTACTAATTAAGCTCGTCGTCGTCTTCATCAATCAGGAATCTTACTCGGCTACGTCTCGAACTTCGCCTTCTCGAACCTTCCGACGAACTTAGGGTGGCGACTGATGCTCGGAATCGGCGCCGTCCCCGCCGTATTCCTGGCCCTCGGCGTCCTCGCCATGCCGGAGTCTCCCCGCTGGCTCGTAATGCAAGGCCGCCTCGCCGAGGCCAAGCGCGTCCTCGACCGAACCTCCGACTCGCCGGAAGAATCCTCATCCCGATTTTCCGACATCAAGCAAGCCGCCGGCATACCCCAAAACTCCGACGACGTCGTATTACTCCACAAGCCCCACCACGGCGAAGGCGTGTGGCGCGACCTCCTCTTCCGCCCCACCCCCGCCGTCCGCCACATCCTCCTCTGCGCCGCCGGCGTCCATTTCTTCCAGCAAGCCAGCGGCATCGACTCGGTAGTGCTCTACAGCCCCGAAATCTTCGAAAAAGCCGGAATTAAAAACGACACCGACAAGCTGCTGGCGACAATGGCGGTCGGGTTCACCAAAACCCTCGTCATCCTCGTGGCCACATTTCAGGTCGACAAGGTCGGCCGCCGGCGGCTGTTTCTGACGAGCATGGCCGGAATGATCGTTTCTTTATTAGGGCTAGCGACGGGGCTGACTCTGATCGGGCATTCCGATCGGAAAATGGTGCCCGCGGTGGGGCTGTGCATAGCCACCGTGCTGTCGTATGTTTCATTTTTTTCGATCGGAATGGGGCCGGTGACGTTCGCGTACTCGTCGGAGATATTTCCGCTCCGGCTGCGGGCGCAGGGATTCAGTATTGTGATAGCGGTGAACAGAGTGGCGAGCGGGGTGCTGACAATGACGTTTATATCCCTGTACAAGGCGGTGAGTATTGGGGGAGCGTTTTTTGTGTACGCGGGGATTGGAGGGGTAGGATGGGTATTTCTGTACACGTTTTGTCCGGAGACGAAGGGGAGACCGTTGGAGGAAATAGAGGGGTTATTTGGGGGCGTTTTTAAGTGGCGGAGGAGAGAGAAGGCGGGGCAGGTCGAATTGGAGACTACTGCAGGAAGTAGTACTGTATAGGATTGGATTGGATAGGATAGGGACGTGGGTCGTCGGGGTCAAATGTTCTTGTTTTCTTGAAATGAAATAATTTGTGGAAATCGTCGCAATGAGATGATCTTTGGTCCCAAAAATAAATTTTACTCCTCCGTCACGTAACTATGTTTCTGTCTAATAACTATATATTAATTTGCATTTTACATAGAGTTTTAAAAATATTAGTATTATATTAAGATATAGTAGAAATAAAGTAAAAATGACTAAAATGACCTTATTAGTATTGTATGATATAAAAGTAATGTTATTTGTGTAATATATTAAAAATTATAATGATATTTGTAATACTAGATAGATAGTACATTTACTAAAAAAAAAAATTAATACTCTGTTACGAGACGGAGGAAGTATTTTTCTATTTTCATGTGTATATATATATTATATGTGTTAAGAAAAAATGATAAATTATGTTAATGAGACAGAAAATTCGATTTAGTGTTCTCTTCCGCTAATGTTAGAAGTTAAAGAGAAAATTATGAAAATAAAGAATGCACAGAAAATATATATACACAAGTAAAGTTGGGGTTGAACTAAAATAAATAGTAGAAATAATATTTATATAGCTACCAACTAAAATGATTAAGGAACAAAATTATGCTTTTTCAGCATTTTAATACTATGTCTCAATAAAATATATGATACTACTATTTTGTAAAAAATAAAATTTATATAATACAAATAAATAAAAAATATTTATTTATTTATTATTACCATAAATTAGTTATATAAAAAATGAAAATTTTAAAAGTAAATAAAATTTTAAAGGTAAAAAAATTAAAAATATTTGTTAATTAAACAGAATAGAAATAAAAAAGTTTTGAAGGGCTTTTTATCCATAAAGAATTTAAAATTTAATTAAATTGATTCATATTAATTGTATTTAAGATTGATTCGAGGGACAGATAAAAAAGAAATAAAAAAAAAAATCATCTACCAGAATGAAAAGAGTACAATTTAAGCATTAATTTTTTTAGGTAATCAGCACTCTTTAACTATTTTTATAGCATTAATAAATTATAGTTTTTATTTTTATATCATATGCATGTTAATCAATGTAAAATAATAATAATAATAATAATAATAATAATAAATACTACTCTCTCCGTCCCAAACATCTTGCAACATATGTATTTGACATAAAGAATTTAGGTGGAGAGTATTAGGTATAATAATTTAAGATAATTTGGATATTAAGTGATATAATTGGAGAGATAAATGATTATTTTTAATTTTTTTTAGTAATAAGATGAGATAAAGTGAAATCTATATTAATATATATATATAAATATTATTAATTATTTTTAAATTTAAAAATTTTGAATAAAGTTTGGGACAAATAAAAAAAATAAAATGTTGCACAATGTTTATGAATATGTTTGCATCCTCATTAATTTGTCAATTGATTTAATTATATTATAATAAGCTTTCTGATTATAACGAATTGTTTATGCATGTGCTTGCGTCCTCATTAATTTCTCATGATCGTGTGCTTAAAATATTTTTTTTTCTTTCTTTTTTATTATAACGAAATAAATAATTCAGCATCGTTCCTTTTTCAATCTATTTTGGATAAACATTAAGTTGAATCTAATAGAAAATAATGAATTTAATTTACAGTCACAAGTATACATTTGAACAATATATATATGTTGTTAAGACACATTTTAATTGGAAAGACGAGACCTAAAGAGCAGTGTTTAAGTGCACACTCACATTCTTATGACAAATTTTTAAATAAATAGAATATTATCTTATCTGTCCTATATGTATGTTGTTCGTATTATAGCAAATAATGTTGATAATCACTACCTAAGTATAGCGAGTCAAAGCTGGACAATATTCAACTTTGGATACATTTTTTCTTTATTTAATTTTATATATTTTGATTCGAATCTGAATATTAAAATTGTCATGTGCTGGCAATGACATTTTCTGCCTGTCATGACAGCTACTTAGCACTTTCTGTCTATCTTCAATTTAGTTAGAAATATAATAATCCATTCGTCCCAAAACTATAATTTGGATTGTGTTTGATACGAAATTTAAAAAATATTGATATTATATTGATAGTGGATAAAAAATATAAGTAAAAGATTTTTTTGCCTTTGCGAGTGTATTAGTATAAAAAGTAGTGACAATTGTGTAATAATAATGAAAAAATAAGAATAATTTTATATTGTTATAGTAATTTATGAAAATAAAATTATTGTTTTGGGACGGACAAAAATAATAAACAAGACTTATTGTATTGAGACAATGAGTATTTTAGATGGTATAAATCAATATATTAATAATAATAAATTATAATATTAATTTATTTATTTTTATTAAGTAATATTATCAATATTTTAAAAATATGAATTAATATATAATTTAAAAATTAGAATGTATTTAAATATAATTAGCATTATATCTCAATAAAATAGATACAATATTTATATTATCTTGTAAAAATTAAATTTTTTTATAATATAAATAAATATATTTATTTATCTATGATTAATATAAACTAATATATATATATAAATAAATGAAAGGTCATAAATATCGATAAAAGTATTTATTTATTAAAAAAAATATTAAAATAAAAAGACTTTAAATGTGTCTCGTATGTAAAAAATTTAGAATTTAATTTAATTAATTTATATTTATTATATATATTTAAAATTGTTAAATTTACAAAAAAAAAAAAAAAATCATCTGTGAAACTATTGGACAGAGGGATTATTATTATCATTATTATTATTATTTAAATTATTTTTATTTTAATAATACGACAATTGTCTACTAATCATGCTATTGCTAGTCAGACAAACTTTGTTTACTCTATTCATTTGTACTCATTTACGCTATTTATTTTTTTAAACATAATGCATGAAATATATATATTTTTCTCACATAATATTACATCAACTATTAATTTTTATTTTTTTTAACTTTCAAATTTCAATAACATCTAACATCTATCTAAACAAAGTCCTAAAAAAGTCCGAAACATGTTAAACCTAAGGTTGTGTTTCTTCATATTCCACCGTTCCACATCTTATCTCTTCACAGTTTACATTTTTGTCTATTTCATATTTTATGTTATTTTTCTAAAAAACATATTAAGCACTTTAATTATTTTTATTTTAATTAAACTAATTAGGTATCTTAATTTTAATTTATAATTATATTTGTATTATACTGTAATTAATTTTACTAATATATTGTAATTATTTACTAATTATATTCATTCTAAATTTTTGTACCTAAAATAACTGTGATACTATATATGAGATGAAAAAAGTAGTAGATTTCACGAAAAAACAGAAAATCATGGTAGATTTAATATTATTTAAATTAAAAAAAATGCAAACTTAATTCAAAATTTAATTCAACACTCTAAAAGAAACATATCTTAGAAATCAAAAAATATACTTGAACTAGACATTTATTATTTTTTACTATTTAAATGATTGTGTTCATATTTGCAAAATTGATATATGCCCTTCTCGTTTATATATTATGATGTGAGAATTGACAACTGTTATTTTTAAATGCAATTCGATAAACCTCCGATCTCTACTCGTTGTTTTCTTTTATGTTCAATATTTGGTTTGTGCAAAATTACAGCGCAATGTACACAAGTTGCAATAAAACTACATATTCAAAATTACCATAAAAATTAAATATAGGGTTTGTTTGTCCAAATATCCGACCTATGCCCACCTCTAAGCCAAACACATGTTATGTATTAACATAAAACAAATACAAACAATACATAATAATAATAATAATAATAATTTACAAACACATGCCCTATGTTAAAGAACACAAATTGAATACATATTACGAAGTGACTATACAAAATAATAATCTACACAATTCATGTTGTCGTGGTTTCTAGCCATGTGCTCGATCTGTATAATATCACTAAGAATCGATTAGCATAATCAGCCCCTTAATTAGTTCCACGTACACATTCATTCGTTATCAACTTGTCAAATGCAAAAAAAAAAAAAAAAAAAAAAAAAAAAAAATGATAAAAAAAATTTGTAAAATGCTTCACCTATGTCGACCCGATTTCAGCGTGGGTCCATGGACCCCAACACCAGTGTAAGCGTTAAATAAAGTTCATTGAACCTCCGGCCTCTCAACTCCGTGCCATTAATATTAATTAAAGGTGACCGTACATCCGGAGTTTAGATCCCGGCCTTCTCAACCAATTAAATTGCAAGGTAATCATCCAATCCTTTGAACTGTCTCACTCTACAGAGACTCAGCACAACTCTCTCTCTCTGTCTCTCTCCATATTCACATATTCAATATCTATATCTACCTATACATATATATATATCTATATGTGACTGAGGTGAAGCTCAATCATACTCTAAATACAAAACCCTAAACCCGCATGGCCGCCGACGGCAAACTCTCCGACGACCCTACCCGTTTACCCGAACCCGGCACGCCGTCCAAACCTAAAACCAACAAGTATGCCTTGGCCTGCTCTTTCTTAGCCTCCATGACTTCGATCCTCCTCGGCTATGGTAATTAAATTAATTCCTCTGCTTCAAATTATTCACATATATATATATATATATTTTTCAATTAATTAATTAATTAATTCAGATATTGGAGTGATGAGTGGAGCAATAATATACATAAAAAAGGATCTGCACATTAGCGACGTCCAAAAAGAGATCATTATGGGCATTCTCAACGTCTATTCGCTTCTCGGCTCAGCAGCCGCCGGCCGTACTTCCGACTGGATTGGCCGCCGCTACACCATTGTCTTCGCCGGAGTCATATTCTTCGCCGGCGCGCTGCTTATGGGATTCGCCACCAACTACGCTTTCCTCATGGTGGGCCGCTTCGTAGCCGGCGTCGGCGTCGGCTACGCGCTCATGATCGCGCCGGTCTACACAGCCGAGGTCGCGCCGGCTTCCTCCCGCGGCTTCCTCACTTCTATCACTGAAGTGTCCATTAATTTTGGTACGTACTCACTGTAATTTCTTTTTGTATAATTAATTTAATACATTTTTATTTTTTAGTGCTTTGCTTTCTAGGTAGTAATTTTTTATTTTTCTTTTTATTTGGTTTTATCTTCGGGAACATGAAAACAAGTAACGTGACTAGTTGGTGCTGGGAATTATTCAATAACGTGCAAGGCTGGACCAATTCCAAAATGTTACTACTAATTATTTTTAAATATAAAATTTATGACTTATAGATATTTTGCTTGGTTGTCGGTTGGAGATGTCAGCTACAAATTATGTGATACAATGGATTAGTGTGATGTTTTGGATATATTAATTTTTAATACAACATAAAAAATTAAAATACGTATTTAATTTAATGTTTTGAGGATTTTTTATAATAAATAATAAAAAAATTGAATAAATCCTCCAAAAGAGATACCCGAATCCTGTATTTTGGTTGTAATAACATCGGCGGGGTGGGTCAAAAAAAAAAAAAAAAAAAAAAATTAAATCGTGCCCACATTAACGTTTGGTGGGAGCATGTGCATATTTTTCTTTGTATTTAAATAAATTGTCGTATGCGATATTATATTAATGCGTACATATTTATATGCACATATGTGACATGTCGTATGTCTGTTGTCTACTGTCACTATTAATGAAATAAATTTAAATTTGTGCATTTCATTTCAAAATAAAACTAATTTAACGTGGAATATTAATGGTAGTTTGAGATTGTAGGAGACACAACAAGCTATAGTTGGTTAATTATGTAATATGGCGGCCACATAATAACACATAATATCCAGCAAACAGCAATGTTAGTAGCAACTAAGAACACATTATTTATATTAATATAATATAAACATAATATATGAACTAACAATACATAATAATATAGTTTCATACAACACATGATATATTCTCATACAGTAAAATTATTACAAATAATACGTATTATTTTTAATAAAAACTTGGATTATTTTTATATTTTATAGGTGCTAATTTGCAAAAATTAACACCATAACATTCCTCATATAATATGTAAATATAGAAAAATATATTGTTCCTTTCCATAAAATTGAATTTAGGGTAAATTCATTTTGCATGTAAAAAATTATGATAATATTTAGTTGAGAGGATAATTTAACATGAATATCTCTAGCAGGCATACTGCTAGGTTATGTCTCAAACTTCGCCTTCTCGAAGCTTCCGACGAACTTAGGGTGGAGATTCATGCTCGGCATCGGCGCAGTCCCCTCCATATTCCTCGCCCTCGGCGTCCTCGCCATGCCGGAATCTCCCCGCTGGCTCGTCATGCAAGGCCGCCTCGCCGACGCCAAGCGCGTCCTCGACCGGACCTCCGATTCCCCGGAAGAGTCCCGCCTCCGATTATCCGACATCAAGAACGCCGCCGGAATACCGCCCGATTCCGACGACGACACCGTCGCCGTCACCAAACGCCGCGGCGGCGGCGAAGGCGTCTGGCGAGACCTCCTCCTCCGCCCGACTCCCGCCGTTCGCCACATCCTCCTCTGCGGCGTCGGAATCCACTTCTTCCAGCAAGCCAGCGGCATAGACGCCGTCGTTTTGTACAGCCCGGAGATATTCGAGAAGGCCGGAATCACCAGGGACAACGACAAGCTGCTGGCCACCATGGCCGTCGGATTCACCAAAACCCTCTTCATCCTCGTCGCCACGTTTCTGCTCGACAGGGTCGGCCGACGGCCGCTGCTTCTGTCGAGCGTGGCGGGGATGGTGGCGTCGCTGACCGGGCTGGGGATCGGGCTGACCGTAATAGCACATTCCGGCGAGAAATTGATTTGGGCAGCGGCGCTGTGCATAGCTATGGTCCTGTCCTACGTGGCATTTTTTTCAATCGGGATGGGGCCCATCACGTGGGTGTACAGCTCAGAGATATTCCCGCTGCGGCTCAGGGCGCAGGGGTGCAGTGTGGGCGTCGCAGCGAATCGGGTCACCAGTGGGGTGCTGTCAATGACGTTTTTGTCCCTCTACCATGCAATTACTATTGGCGGGGCGTTTTTTCTCTACGGTGCGATTGCTGCGGTTGCGTGGTTTTTCTTCTACAGTTTGTACCCCGAGACGCAGGGGAAAACGCTGGAGGAAATGGAGGGGTTGTTCGGGGGTTTTTTTAGATGGCGGACGAATTGGAAAGCATTGGAGGAGAAGAAACTGGAGGATAGTGGGCGTGTCGAAATGATGACACGTGTCGGTGGGACTGACTAGGGTTTTGAGGTGTGTTTGTTTTGTGTTTTCACTTTGAATTTTTTTTTTTCTAAAATAAAATATAATGAATTAAGTAAATAATATAAAATAATACATATGTATAATATATTAATTTTTTTATAAATATGTTCAAGAATTTTCAATTGCAATCTTTAGAGAATATATAATCATGGGGTTGGACAAGGTTCAAAATAAGTTGGCCTAGTGGAAGAGGCCCCAATTTAACGAGCTAAACCCATTTAAACAGCTTTATTTGAAGAGACCATTTACTCAAATTATATTCACAAATTGATTGCATTTAAAATAATGTTATTTAGTTAGTTTATAACAGTGAATTATAATATTATTATTTTTTGTAATGTAATTAATAATATTGATAATTTTAAAATAAATTTAATATATACAATTAATAATTAGGATATCTATTTAAATATTTTAAAATTATATGGCAATAAAAAAAAATATACAATATGAATATTATTTTGTAGAGAATAAAACTTTATGTAATAAAAATAAACAAAAAATATTTTTATTTATTTATAATTGATAACTAATTTTATAAAAGATGTGAAATATATAAATAAAAAAGTTTTGAATACATCCTATATGATTAATCAATTATGTTGATTTATAAGTATGTTTTGATTCAATAAATTTTACTAAAATAAAAATGTGCGAAGAAGTATATATAAAATCAAATACTAATAAAAAATAAAATTAAAAGATATTTGTACAAAATAATTTGAATGGCAAAACTAAGAACGTCAATATAAAAAATGGAGTAATATATTTAAATCAAAAATAACAAAATTTTGTTTTTAAACAAAAAAAACAAAACAATTCATTATCTCAATCTTGTTATTTTATTATCTAATCTACAGATAAACTTTTAAAATTTAATGTATAATAAATTAATTATTTAATTGTTTAGTATTATATAGTAATATTATAGTCATAGATTCTTTCTTCTTTGAAAATATGAGAATTGAATCTATGTTGGGAGGAAAAATGATTAAGCAAACAAACTCATGTATGGACAATGAAATAACAAAATAAAATAAGAAAGCAAACCCTAAATACATAAACCCTAATTCAAACCAAAGCAGCACTAAATATATAAACCCTAATTCAAACCAAAGCAGCAATAAATACATAAACCCTAATTCAAACCAATGCAGCACTAAATATATAAACCCTAATTCAAGCCAAAGCAGCAATAAATACATAAACCCTAATTCAAACCAATGCAGCACTAAATATATAAACCCTAATTCAAACCAAAGCAGCAATAAATACATAAACCCTAATTCAAACCAAAGCTGCACTAAATATATAAACCCTAATTCAAACCAAAGCTGCACTAAATACATAAACCCTAATTCAAACCAAAGCAGCCCTAAATATATAAACCCTAATTCAAATTCTAAGTCATGTACTGTTCGTAAGGTCCTTCAGGATCGAACTGCTTACCCAGACCCAAATAAACGAGGAACAAAAGTCGATCTTTGGCGCCGGTACGATGAACGTTGTTGTGCTTACAGAAATACTTGAGTTGATCGAGTCTGCAGAGCCCCACCATTTCCGTCAGCAGCAGGAACAGCCAATTGATGTTCTTCTTCTTCTCAGCGACGACGGCGCGGAGGCTCTTGCTCCGGCAGCCGCGGCACTCCATGGCCACCGGATGGGTCCAACGCTTGGGGGCCCGTTTGGCCAATTCGAAAATGTTATCTGCAAAGAATCTTTTGATTTTGAAATAAGTTTGATAGGAGTCGAGTTCCATGTCGTATTTGACCCCGCAGTTTTTGCACTCGACTTCGCCCGAGATTTTGACGATACTTCTCGCCCTTAAGTCGATGAAAGAGTGCACGACGGCGCGGCGGTCGGTGGCCCATGGATATGGCGGAGCTATGGGAGGCTTTTCCTCGTCTTCGTTGTTGTTGTTCTGCGGTGATGTCAACGCGATTTCAGCCATTTGTATGGGCGGGCAGAGTAATTTGTGGTGTTTGGAAGAAATAGAGAGTTGTAATTACATTACAAAGGGTGTATATATATATATAGAGAGAGAGAGCTAGAGAGAGAAGGGAGACAGAGAAAAAGGTGGAGAAGATATAGAGAAGATAGAGAGAGAGAGATAGAGTATATAGAGAAGAGAGAGGGAGAGAGTATAGAAAGAAGATAGAGTATAGAGAAGAGAGAGAGAGACTAGTTAGAGAGAGAAAGAGAGAAAAAGGGGTTCGAAAGTAGAGTTTCAAAACTTAATCCCACTCAAAAAAATCTTTTTTTTGAATTTTTTAAAAATAAAATCAACCAGAATCCGAATGAAAAAAAAAAAAAAGGGTTAGATGAATAGAACACGTCGAATTTCCGAAACTCAAATCCAACCTCATTTTCATTTTATTTATTTCAAATTATAATATATTAAAAAATAAAATAATATTCTTAATTTTTTTTTTAAAAAAAAAAAAGCAATATACGAAATTATAAAAGTGTAAAATCAAGTTTTCAAATTTATTCAGTTTAATTATCAGGTAGCTTGAAGCAATATCAGATTGACCTGAAAAAATTTGTGTAACATTCAAGTTTCAAGTTGTAAATAGAGTTCTGATTTTATCCAATAAAATAATTCTGAATTTTTTTTGTTATACTCATATTTTAATCCGACACGAACCCAATCTAAAATACAAATTGATACCTTATTCGAAAGAAGGCTTCGAATATATTATTCAGTGATATCTTCAAAATAATTATTTTTAATTGTATCATTAAAATTAATTATTAATTTAAATAAAATAATTATAATTTGTGGCATTCGAAAATGAGAGAAATTGTGGGAGGAATGATGGTGTAATAGTGAAAGGAAAAAAAAATGATTCAGTTACAAACCCTAGTTAATTAAGGTTACAATTAAGATTTGTAAGGGAAGAAATGAGACTAATGACTTTTTTGGCCCGATATTTTATGATAATTTTAGATAAATATTAATAACAAAAATACATAATATATATGCACATACACAAAATATGAATATGCTACTTCTGGCCCAAAAACTATAAAAATAATAATAAATACTAAATTAATATTAATAAAAGAATTTTATGTCCTTAAACAAAAAAAAAAAAAAAAAAGGTATTTTATGGTATTATAAATTATTAGACGTTATACATGAAGTTAGATGATGTATACTTTTTCGTAGAAGTTAAAATCAATAATTTCAATTTATGCATAGCTTATTTATATTAAAAATATTTATTTATAATTTTCTACTTGCCCTATTATTTTTTTTAATAACTATTAATAAAAAATTTCTTGATACTCCTGTTTTATTTTTTATTTTCATCACTTGTATATATTAAAATAATACTCCCTTCGTGTAGAAGGTAAATATAAATTTTCAAAGTGGATGGAGGAGTATTATTTTTTAATATTTATTCTTAAATAAAATAGCATTATTTTTAGACGAACGGATATTATATAAATTATTTGATATATCTATATAGTATATATTAATAAATATATATATTTAAAAACTAAAATATTTTAAATATTAAAATATATACTACTCCATAAGAACTAAAATTTATGTTTGTATTTGACTCATTTAATTTAACGAGAGAGTTCTTAACAAAAATATGGTTAATAGCAAGCAGTATTGGGATCAATTTTAAATTTATAATAATATCTTAAATAATGCTTGGTAACTACCCTCTCTATGTAACGGTCGTCTCTGCCGTTAACATTTAAACCCCACCCCGCCCCACCCCACTCTTGGAACTGGAAACACATGCACAAACTGGTTTCTTTCTTTTCTTGAGATTGATTAGATCAGATTCGATTAGATTGAGGTGCTGGAAACACACACAGCCATTACTGAGGTAGCTTTCTTGAGATAGAATTGATCTGCAGTAGCAATTCCTAATTAGCAAATTAGGGTTAGGGTTTTAGCAATTAGGGTTATAATGGACAGGAAGGAGACGTCGCCGCCGGCTACGAGGAAGCGGAAGTGGACTGAAGATGAAGAAGATCTGTTGCAAGATCACGCCATTAATAACACCAACTGGAACATCATAAGCAAGGAATTCCCAGGGAGAACAATGGAATCTTGTCGCGGTCGCTGGTACGAAAATCGACATAATTGGGCAACTATTGCCAGATTTCTTCCAGCTCCAATCACAGGGATAGGGACGGCCCAATCGTATAATTCATGCCGTTACAGACCTCCTCTTCCTGCATCTGCATCAATGGCTTCATCATCATCATCACTTTATCATCATGGTGTGAAGGTCTTGTTCCCACTGACGCCTGGCGTCAAGGAAAGTAGTATGAAGAAGAACGACGGCGACGCGGCGATGAGGGACTGTTGGGATGGTGATGGCGATGACAATGACAGAACAGCTCTGACATTAAAGCCGCCGGGAACTTATCCATGTTAGAGAATGTAAGGTTTTAAAGAAAAACTTTTTGATTGGATTCATTCAAGAAACCGAATTTTGAGGGTTTGGAGATCAATCAAGATTAGAGCTGTTAAACTAATTGAGCCGTTCGTGAACTCGGTTCGGTTCGGTTCGATTCAGCTCGGTTAAAATTCGTTCGCGAACGTTAACGAGCCGAGCCGAACAACATAAAAGGCTCGTTTGGTTAACGAATGAGCCCTAGCTTTGTTCGCGATCGTTCGTTTAAATAATATATTTATTATAAATATTATACATATAATTATAATTTATAAATAAATAAAATATTAATTTAAAATATATAAATAAAATAATTTTAAATTTTCTTTATAATTTATATATAAATTTTAAAAGATAAGAAAAACGAGCTCGAACGAATTCGAACGAGCTTATTCGAGCCTAAACGAGCCGAAGACGAACACGAGCTCAAACAACAAAAATTCTTAACGAGCCGAGCTCGAACACTACGAACGAGCTCGAAAGCTTAACGAACGAGCTCAAGTCTTGTTCGCGAACGTTAACGAACACTTAAAATTTGGCTCAGCTTCGCTCGGCTCGGATCGTTAACGGCTCTAATTAAGATAACTTACTACTTTAATTTTCATATTCTAATTCATCATGATCTTGCTTTGCTTGTTAAAACTAGTTTTTTTCTAGCGGTACCGATTTTGAGGCCAGCTAAACTTGCTTCTTTGTTCATCCAATTGTATAAGTATGCTGTTTCTTTTGTAAATAATTTTCCAACATATTTTTCAAAAAAATTAATATATTTACTTTTATATTATTTACAAAATTCATTATACTTTACATAAAAAAATATCTTCGAAACCAAAATACAAAACAAACACTCCTTAATTTTTTTTATTATTATTTTTATTAAACAGTAGAACTAGTGTGAGATAAGTTTTAATCTAAATAATAAACTTTTAATTTTATTAATTTTTTATGAATATATTTAATAATTTTGAAATATTTTTAGAATTGAATATTATGAATATTTAGATATACATATAATTTAAAATAATCTGTATATATTTACATTACCAAAAATAATATTTATTTTTATGTATAATTATATCATGTATATTTAATATATTTTTGTAACAAAGTATACAAATTATTTTAGAAGTTTTTTGTACTTAAATTCAATATCTAAGGTGATTTGCATTAAAAAAGATACATATATTAATTATATTGTCATTTAAATATTTTAAAATTAAGGAAAAATTTTATTTTTAATTTGGTGGCATTGTAAATCAAAATAATTATTTTCTATCTCATGGATTATTATTATTATTATTTATCAATTTTAATATTATTAAAATTAAAATTAATTAATTTTAATCTTATAGTGGCCGATTTCAACATTGACTTGAACATAATCTGATTAGATAAATAAAAAAAATTGGATCCCACATATTTGTGTTTTAACTTTTAACATAGCTATGTTTAAATACAACCGTGTTGAATTAAAATATTGTGTACACATTAAAAAAATAATCGAAGTCATAATTTTTTCAATTAGCTCTCGAAAAGAAAACGTACATCCTAAATATGAATAGTATAATCAATCTATTTAAATTTCATTCAAACAACATTTAAAAGTTTCGATCCAATTAATAATAGAACCTAAGTTAGCATAGATCAAGGTTCCAACAACAAGTCCATAACCAACAATATCCAGGCCCAATCAAACCACACATTTATTGAACTACACAAGAACAAACCTTTATACAAAATCGATAGCCCAGAAAATCCATTCCCTGGAAAACGTAGACACCCATCTTCAAGGCCCTGCAATCCATACCAGGTTGTCAGGCGGGAAGAAATGGCAGACAGGAGATTCTCCAGGGGAACTTCTCATAACCTCAAACGCCACGTGGTCAGGATCCCACTGAGAAGTGTCCATGTGGCAGATTGCGACCGCGTCGACTCTGCCGCCGCTGTCGCCGTCGAGCAGCACCCTGTAAAGCTTCCGGTCGCCAGCCTGGCCGTGACAGTAGAAAACTGCATACGGATAGGGCAGCTTGTGGCAGCCCAGCATTTTCGCTGCCCGAATCTCGTTAGGCTGTTCGGACACGGTATAGTTCTGCAGGGGCGGGAGGGGGCCCGACAGGCGGTTCGTTGTCAGGACCCGGAACCTCGAATTCTTACCGAAGATCGCCTGGACTGAATCGAGCATGGATTCCAGGGACGTGGCACAGAATTTGGTTTCCCCTCGCAGGGCCGGGTGTTCGCAGTGATGCAGAGTCGATTTCATCGCCACGGCCTGTTTCGATCCGGCGGGAAATCCAAAGAGCCGGAGGAGGTCCGGGAGCTTGGTCGAGGTAAAGGGGATCGAATCGGCTTCTTCCCGGGGGAGAAGACGGGGAGTTGTCGACGGGTTGTTTGTCTGGTAATAGACCGCGATCCTCGTCCCGGGTTTCAGGGTGTTGTAATGGAAGAAAACATTGAGTTCCGGATCTAACGGCCGGCCGGAATCGCGGCGGTCGCCGTTTTCCGGCAGCCGGAGATGGGTGTCTTGATGTTCATTGGTAGGGATTAATTTTCTATGCAAAGCTTTTGCCTGATGAAGAGCCTGTAAAATTGGAGAATAAAATCAGGGCCCTGGAAATTGGAAATTGGGGGTTAGGGAATCAAATCAGGGCCTGGAAATATTACCTGGAGCAGAATCAGGGAGTGAATTACGAAAGGAATAATTCCAGGGATCATTTTTGCTGCTTCTTCTTGTTGTGTGCCCTGGAAAAGGGTTTGATTAATAGTGCTGCAAAATTGAATTGAAAATTTCAATGGTACGTGTGTTTATTTAATTCCAGGCGTCACTGTTGAATAAAAATAAAATAAATAAGTTTGAGACAGATACATCCTCTACGATGCAAAAAGCCAAGAAACAGTGGCTCAACAGCAAAGCTAAAGTCTTATGTCATTTTAACTAATCTATTAACCAAAGTCAATCACTATTAATTAAGCAATTAATGCTCAATTTCGTCAAATGATGAACACACAATCTGACAACGCACATGGCCGCAAAGTCAGACTTAATCCCTGAGTTGACTCTAATATTTTGTTATTTTAAAATATATTTTATAATCAATCGAGGGACTAAACAACGCTAGATTCGATCTGGGTGTCTCTGTACTTTTATCATTTAATTTTATTGAATTAAAAATATATTAATATATCTATTTTATTTTACGAAATTTCCAATATTATGGTGGGCCACTGGATCAATCAGAGAAGGACACGTGGCATAGAAATTATGCACACAAGTCAAACTACAGCCCCAGATTGTGCGTTCCTGTTCAAACCTGTTTCCCACTATTGAGTGGAATCATGTCAACTCAACCATTATTGTCACATTTACAAGTCAACGCTTCTACGTGCGACACAGAGTGTCCTTCCTCGGTGATTTTATTTATTTATTTATTTAAATAATAAATTTAAACATTTATTAAAATTTGCATCCAAAAATTTAAACATATTTTTAAACGACTGAAAAAATAATTTTTTTAAAGATAATATTTTAATATAATAACTTATATAAAAAAATAATAATAAAACGCTCTCTATCCTAATAAAATAATTAAAATATAAAATTTTTAAAATATTAATATTATATGATATTGAGTATACAATATTGGTCAAAAAAAAAAAATTGCCCTTATGAATGTATAACAATTTAAGAGTAAAAAATAATAAAACGAGTGTAGTAATAATAATAAAAAATAAAAATAATTAACTTTATGAATTTGTGATTATTTTATTGTAATAAGAATATTATTTGAAAACAAATAGAAATGATAAAACAAACCTCTCATTTTAGAATGAAAAAAATATATTTTTATTGAAATAACATTAAATTGATAATTGATTTGAATTTAAAACTCCAATCAAATGGTACTCGTATATACAAAATAAAATAAAATAAAAAGAAAATTCAGAATGACAAAAGGGAAGAAATAATTAGGTATGGAAAGGAGAAGTGATAAGAAGGACAGAGATGTATAGTGCTCATTTATCCTTTACAGGCACCCATGACAAAAATGCTGTCTGTCTTTAGTCAACCCACTCGAAACTTCTCAATCATGTCAAACCAAAATTAAATTAATTAATTAAATGAAACAAAAATAATTAAGTTGGTTCGAGTATATATAATTTAGAGCAAAAATTAGTCAATTTATGTATGCCTCATTGATTAAAACGTGCTGCTAGGACTTTAACACAAATAAATTTTTGGTGACATAATTTTAATATATACTCCCTCCGTCCAAGCTAAAATTATACAATTACTTTTGGAGCAGAAATTAAGGAATAATAGTATTTTAATTATAGGAGGCAGGTAAAAGTAGTAAAATAACATTTTTGCCCTTATTTTTTTGGTATAAAAGTAATGATGTGAGGTAAAGTATGGGTATTTGTAGAAAAAATGAGGTATTTAATGAAATGGTTATTTTGTAATTGAACGTTCCAAAATAGAAATATGTATACTTTCTAACTGGACGGAGGGAGTATAATATTTATATTTTATTTTTTTTTATAATTTTTTATATTTTATACATATAAAAAAAATTATCTTAAACTAAAATAGGTGACTTACTTATATTGATTGTTGCTCGTACAAATTACATACATCAACACCACATTACCTTAAATTAATAAGATAAAATAAATATATATTTATATACTTTCTCCGTCTCATAACTAGATATTTATTTGTTTTTGCGCATAGTTTTAGAAATATTAGTATTTTATTGAGATGTAGTATAAATAAAGTAAAAATGACTAAAATAACTTTATTAGTATGTGTGATACAAAGGTAATGTCATTTGTGTAATATATTGTAAATTGTAAGGGTATTTGTAATGTTAGATAGATAGTACAGTTACTAAAAAAAAAATGAATATTTTGTTATGGGACGAACTAAAATAAAAAAATGGATACTTTGTTATGGGTCGGAGGGAGTAATATAAATAAAACAACATAAATACAAGTTGACAAAGTTTACTATACAATACATATATAAAATAAAATTGATAGTATATATAGAATACTTTATGCAGTATTCTATTTCCGTATACAGTTTGTAATATTTACATGTAATGATTGGACTAATAAACAAAATTCTTAATACAAAACGTTCCTAATAAAAATATATCATTTCTTTTTATAAATTATTTAAAATAATAAAATTGATGTGTTAATAGTAACATTTTATAATTTTCAATAACTGACAATAATTTAAATATTTTTTTTTTCTGAATAGTAAAACAAGGCACCCAAAATTAACTCAATAACTAACAATAATTTAAATATTTTTTTTTCTGAATAGTAAAACAAGGCACCCAAAATTAACTGAAAAATAAATATTTATTAAATTAATTTAAATAAAACAGTATATTAAAATGATCACGATTATCACTTTTAGTAAGTTTCATACATATAGAAGTTCATTATGCAGAGATTCTTATGTAATGTTACTTTAAATTTTGAATTTTAAATTTAAATAAAATAAATCATTTGACATGATACAATGTGTGATGTAAAATTTTACGATAAAAAATTGAAAATTATAATTTCAATTTAACTTTGTTCTTTTTTGTGTGCAACTCGGACCGTTTATATATATATATATATATATAACAAAATTTTAAAAGTATGTGCAATATATTAAATATATATTTATTTGATAGTTTTTTGGGAAAAATAGTGTCATACTAAAATCAAACTTTGAAGTAAGAAAAAATTCGGGTCTATCTAATTTAAATTTCCTCAATAAAAATATATTACTTCTTCTACAAAACATCAAATATGTGAGTCAAAATATCACATTATTAACCTAATATCTAAATCCAAAATCCAAACAAAACACATCCTTTGATATTTTCTTAAACTAATCATAGGCATATATACACAGATAAATACAAGTTACAAATTAAATAGTTGGTAGACAAGTAGACAGCCAGATGCCTTAATAAAAATAATAATAGCCACATTGCCCAAAATTTTATTTAAAATTTCAGGCTTCAATCAAAACATTTCATTTCGATATATATATCTGGACTATCATAATTAATTAATTATCATTCCGATGCCAAACAACAGGCATAAATACAAAAACTGCTAGGCAAATAAGTTAAAATTAATTATTTTTTAATACTTATATAATTTGTAGGTATATATATTTTATTTAAATTTGAGGGTGATATTTTAATTAGAATAATAATCAAGAGGCAAGAAAAGGTTGTTGCTGTACTCATGCTATGGGGAGTTGACTATTATTTGTATACTCAATTATCCACTTGATAAAAGTTGCTTTTCTATTTTTATTTTTATTTTTTTAAATTTTTTTTTATTAAATATTTATAATAGGGTTTATAAATAGCAAATAGTCAGAGGTTCCACAGTTAGATGATGTTTAGCTTAGCCAACACCAAAAAAATATAATTTAAAAAAAAAAATCAAAAATCAAAAATCAAAAATAACAAGAAGAAGAAGATGGGGAAGAACAGCAGAAGATCTGTTCTTGCAGCCTTGCTTATAATTCTATCTTTAATTCTAATGGTAAATTATTTATATTCTTACAAAACCACCATTGATGTTGTCGTCAAGGTCGAGGTCTGTTATAATTAAAAATTTAATCTTTTTTTCAGGGTGCAGAAGGTAGGAGAAGCAATTCTGCAGAAGATTATTGGAAGAGTGTAATGAAAGGGGAGCCGATGCCTAAAGCTATTGCAGAAGATATTTTGCCAATACGGCGTCGTTTCGCAAGGGATTTCGATTCCAAGGCTAGTCTTATCATTTATCACACACGCCCTACAAGTCACGAACCCTAATTATATTCATTCTTCACTTTTTTTTCTTTTTTTTTTTAAAAAAAAGATATATATATATATATGTATTTTGAGTAATTTGGTTAGGGTTTGATGATGATGTTTGTGTTATGATCAATCTTTTGTGTTTTCAATTTTTGTATAATTACTATTGGGACAAGTATTGCTGCTTTTTTTTTTTTACTGTATAATCTCAAGAATTTGAAAAATAAAAAAATAAAAAAATGAAAAAAACAAACAAACAAACAGACAGGCACACTGTTATTTTATGTAAATTCAGCATGAGACATAAAAATATATAAACATAAGATGTATGAAAATTATTAATACGAAATTAAGAAAAAAAGAATTACCTGGAAACTGAGGTTGCAGAAAAAGCTTGGCTTGATCTTCAAGGGATACAACTGGCTGGGTATTAATCAATTTTAATTTATATATATATAACGTGAAATTTCATTGAAAGAATAAAATAAAAATGGTAATATTAATGAAATTAGGATTGTGATTAATTGATTTTTGGTTGGTTCAATCTTGAAAGAATCAAGCAGTTGAATATAAATCATTAAATGAATTGGAATTTCCCATAATTGAATTTTGTAATAATCAAATTTCTTAATTGCACCTTATTAATAGAGTATCAGGAACCGATGATGATCTGTTCAACATATTATTTAATTTTTTTTTATTTATTTTTTTTTATGACGTGGAATCCGCAGTGTGATTTTTATTGACATAGAAACGAATATGTACTAATTGCTGAGATATATCTACAGCCACTTTAAAATTTTAACTTTTTTTTTTTTTGTGTGTTTTCTAAATAGGGCAGTCGCAATCTTTAAAAAATAAACATATATATATAAATCATTAGTTAAACGAGTCGCAGCTTGTTATATTAATGATTGAAATTAGCTTGAACTTGTTCGTGAATATTTGAAAGTGTTCATGAACAAATTAAATTAACATACCTTTTGTCCAGCA